CTGGAGACAAGCAGAATAAAAATGCAGCTTAAACAGCATAATATAAGCTCAGACTTCAGCTGGCTGCCATGAAAATGGACCACAAAATCTGAGACTCAGGGGCCACAGATGGAGAGCTGGAAAACCTCATCTCAGCTGACTGGCATCCTCCGTCGGTGGTCAAGGTAGGTGGGTTACAGGAGGAAACACCTGTACCATCGGCCGTGGTGTACCAGGCATTGGCCACACAAGGAACTCGGTAGAGATAAGAAAAACACCTACAAAGAGGCCAAATCTCAAAACATTCCATAACTTTTATTGAGGACTAGTCACACACATTTCTAAGCATGAATCTGACAAGTGTCTTTGCTGTCTTTAAAAACAGCTTCTTGCGTCTGAGGCACTGGATTCAGGAGGTAGCTGTGGCAACTTCCTGCTTTGCCCCTTTTGGGTGGACACAGAGAAGCAATTGTGCATTTTAAAAAGCCGCTGGGGGCTCTGCAGTGCAGAAGCGCCCCAGGAAGGATGCAGACACGTCTGGCTCAGGCCCACAGAGGTTAATGCGCCAACGGGAACAGCCCTGGAAGCAGAAAGGTTCCCAGTGAAGCAGGCCTGAAGTGCTGCCTTGGAGGAGGCACTGAGGCGCCATCCTCATCTGCTCATCAGCACTTCAGCCCTGTCTTCCCTGGGAACATGTCAGTGCGGTGTGCATAAGTGTGTGTCCACGTGCAGGGGGAGAAGAATCTGTGCACTTTGCCTGTGTGGTGGTTTCCTTATAGATCCTTAAACGGGCAGCACAGAACTAGCTCTGCCCACCCAGGCAAAGGAGCAAGCAGCAGGTAGCTCTTCTCCCCATCAGCATCCAGAAGGAAAATGCAGGCGTCTTCCTATCTATATTGTGCTTTCCTTTACCCACAGCGCCTTCCAGCTCAGAGTGAGAGAGCAGGAGGGTTGTTACTGGTGCGTTTGTGCTCGTTAAGGCAAAATGTTGAGTTTCCTGTCCCAGAGCCCCAAAATAAGCTAAAACACAGCTTGAGATCAGAGCAAGCCAGTTTGTTCCCAGTGACTAGAGAGGAAAGGGCCAGACAGCGATGCTTCCAGTCGTTCTTTGTATTTTCCCACCCGCCAGAAGACGTCAACAGTCCATGAGCGGACCCTGTGCCCCCTTAGCTGATAGCAAGTGGGGAAGGGGGCTGAGAATGCCTTTACAGCAGCCTTCCCAGGTTGTCCCACACATCCCGAGGACACGCCACCAAGAAAGGGCTGCATGTACTCGTCCTCATCAGAATCTGCCAACGTCTTGAAACAACTTACAAGTTGGGCAAGCCAACAGTCTCGTCCCTACAGAGTCTTAAAATCTTGAGCCATACAAAGTGTGTTGTGGATCCTAAAAGTCAGCCAGCAATGATTGTTCAGAGTGGGCTTTTGCCCATGGAGACATAACCAGGCTGGAGTGGATGCCTCCCTCTCTTGGCATCACTGGTCTGCTCTGGATGATGTTTCCCGGGCCGGGCCGGGCATGTTCTGGTGCACCACCGGCCCAATGAAGCACACATCTTCTTGGTTCCCGGCACTTGCACGCTGAAAGGTCACGGCTGGAGATGGTGGGGCACACAAGCTGTCGCTCTCCTCGCTCTCCTCCGGAATAGGTGGCAAGGGACCACATTCCTCGTAGCTGGGAGGTGGACCCAGGATGCGGGGCGGCGGGTGTCTGCGCCGAGCCGCTGAGTGGATCGCGACCCAGGTCTGGTCGCTGGTGAACCCCGGGGGCCTTCGCCGGTGCCACCCCCTTTCCTTGCAGTAGCAGAGAGCAAAGAAAGCGAAGCCACCCACAGAGACGGCAACCACGATGATCAAGACAGCCTCCCATTCTGGAAGAAAAAGAAGCGAGGGCAGGGTCAGCTATGGGTACACGCCCCCTTCCACCCCTGGCCCCACCTGCCTTGGTGTCCCTTGATGAAGCCCCCCCCCCCCACGGCTGGTTCTTCTTCCCTTTAAACAAGCCTTCTTATTCTCGAGTGTCAGCGGAGGAGAAAAACATGGTGACACAGATGGATGCAGGTTTGACAATCCAGCTAGGCATGTGCTTCAAGAAAAGCAAACCTGTGTCCATTTGCAGGCGGCTTCTATGGCAAGGTGGGGAGAGAGTTAACCCAGGTTCTAGTTCCACACAGCCACTGCGTGACTCTGGGCCAGTCACTTACTCTGGGCCTAACCTACCTCACAGGGTTGTTGTGGAGATATAATGCAGTGCAGGAACGCCATGAAGCTGTCCGGGGTTCCTCACAAGAGGAAGAAAGGTGGGATGTAAATAAAGCGGCGGTGGCGTCATAATCACCCATTTGAACACTGAAGACATTAAAGGTCACCAGGAGGGAGTCCAGCGTTATCGACTGGCCCAGATTTCTACTGCAATAAGAGGGGCGTGGAGGGGGGCGTTCAGGGAGGAAGCTCAGCGGACTTGAAGTCCGTGGGCCAAAGGACACCCCATGCTCAAGGCGCGCTGCTGGAGGAAACTCCCTCTGCCCAAGCAGGCACAGGCCTGGGGATGCGTGCCCAGCAAGGGCCCTTTGCACCCGGTGGCGTGCTGCTCTCTTACCTCGATCCGGCTTGGGAGTGGGGGGCTGGCTGGTCTGCGGGGCGCTCGTGGTGCCGAGCCTTGCGGGGCTGGCGCGGGCGCAGCGCCGCGGGTCCAGGCGGGCCCCCCGGGGCAAGCGGCAGCTCCCGCAGCAGGAGGCGGCGTCCGCCCCGTCGCCGCTCCGCGGGCACGGGAAGGCGGCGGTCGCGGAGCCCTTCTCGGGGGCCCGGCGCCCGCACAGTGCGCCTTCGGCCCCGTCAGAGGGAAGCCCCCGGGGGAAAAGCAGGAGAAAGGCGCACAGCAGCGTGCGCGGCATGGCCCGAGCGCCTGCGGGGACCCGTCGGGCTTCCTTCCGAAGTGCCTCTGCGCCCCTCACGCGGCCCGCAGCCAGCTGCTCTCGCCTGTCCCACGAGTCAAACGCAAGTACGCACCTCCAGACCTTTTATTTCCTCCCGAATGTCTCTCCCGGCAGGGCGAGAAGGCAATTTGGCCCACCTGGCCCCGACCTACGCCTGTCCATGCGCAAAGATGCCTCGCATCATTTTCGCCTGCCGGCCGGGAGCAAACCACACCAGCCCCACCTGTGCATGGACAGCAGCTGGCAAAGGTGCCCCGAAACGCTCCCCAACCATCCGCAAGTGCAGCTCGGAGACCACCCGAGCAGATGCAGTAGCGCCCCATCGAGCCCCAGCTCTTGGTCACTTGCAGCCAAGTCCCCCTGGATGCCTTTTGTGTGTGTGTTTACTCAGAAGTAGACCTTTCTCCGCTCAGTGGTGCCCTTCCTCATGGGCAAGTGCCCCTAAGCATGAAGAAAGCCTGGGGACCCTTTTCAGTAAAGAGAAGACTGCTTCGGGAAGTGGCACAAATGCTACACATGGATAAACTCCAGTCACCAGAAATTCCCCACTTTCTTTTCTGTTAAATGAATTTTCTAAAACAATCAGGCCGGTGTTTCTCATGTTCACGGGTCTTGAAATGTCATTGTTCCTTCGGAACATTTGGTTTTGAATCTGACTTTTACAAGCAAAGATGGTATTTTTCTGATGCTTTTATTGTAATGGTGTACGCTATATTTTATCAGCAGTTGTGACCCACTCAGCTATTGCAAGGCACAGAAATCTCACTATTAATAGTAGGTATTGCCAAGATGTCTACGTTTGTGAATATCGTGTTTGCAGCAACAGACATGCAGCTTTTTCTGCAGATCTTGCGTTCTGACAATAACAGGCGGACTTGATTTGCCAGAATGTCAATTGTAACAGGGATTCTCTTCCCTTAGGAATGTTCATGAGTAGATATTTAATTCTGTGTTTTCTTGTTTGGGGCTTCTTCTATTTGGGGGAGCTTGTGCCCTATTTCTGTGCTTTATCTAAACCACAATACTAAAATGCTCCTGGCCCCCTTGTTAGTCTGGAGGCCTTGTAATATAGTGATTAAACTTTGAAGTTAGGTTCCCTCTGGCATCCCCAAGCAGAGCCCACACTCATGTCCCAGGGTGCCTTTCTTGAGCTCCTCCGCTCTTCCTTCTCATCTGAACAGTGACAGGGATCTGGAACATCATTCCCAGGTGGCACATTCCCCTATTCAAGCCACCCACATAAGGTAGTATTTTCAGCACAAAATGGCTGGTTTGTGTTTCGCAAGCCATGACAAGTTTGTGCAGCTGGGTCCAGACAACATAATAATCCACAGTTCAACAACAAGCCCCATTCAACCCTTGACTGTGAATTACACCTGAGAAAGAGGTTCTAATCACCCACTGTGCTCCATCCCTGGCCTTGGTGAGTAGTGGTGGGAAGAGGCCATAGTCCCAAACACCTGAAGGGTCCCACATAGGGGAGGGCAGACTAAAGCCCGTTCACTCCTTCCCCTCCTCTCCCCGGGATAAGTTTCCCTTCCCTTGCACAGCTGCTTGGAATCCCCGCTAGGAGTTGAGGTGGGAAGGCACCAGGTGGCGCTGCCCAGTGCTCTGGATGTTGACCTGAACTGCATCTTCAGGTTTGAATTGCAGTGCTGGAGGAGACGCCTGTGAGTCCCCTGGACCGCAAAACGATCAAACTGGTCAGTCCTAGAGGAGATCAACCCTGACTGCTCTTTGGAAGGCCAGATCCTGAAGATGAAACTCAAATACTTTGGCCACCGAATGAGAAGGAAGGACTCCCTGGAGACAAGCCTAATGCTGGGAACAATAGATGGCAAAAGAAGGAGGGGACGCAGAGGATGAGGTGGCTGGATGGAGTCACTGAAGCAGTCGGTGTGAGCTTAGGTGGACTCCGGGGGATGGTGGAGGACAGGAAGGCCTGGAGGAATGTTGTCCATGGGGTCGCGATGGGTCGGACATGACTTCCCGACTAACAACAACAACATCTTCAAGTGCTGATCAGTCTCAAAGAGGGGGCCACGCCCCCCATGGCACAACCAGCCTTAGTTTTCAGAGCCACCATTTTGAGAAGTCCAAATATCAACGTACTTTTATTAATGACAAGATAACGCATGTAGAGAGTGCAGCATTAGACAAGTGTCTCAGATAAAAAGAGTTCTGTGCATCCAAGAAGCGCACATGGCAACAGGCCTATGTTGCTGCTTCGTGGGGAATGCACAGATGTGCCCGTACGAATTCTCACATTTTAAAAAGCTCTCAGGGACCATCTGGCATGAAACCTCCATGGAAATATGAAGATTTGCCCCTGGCTTATGCCCATAGGGATGAGCGCTCCAACAGGAACAGTCAGACAAACAGAATTTCTCTGCAAAGACACCAAGGCCTGGTTTTCCCAAGCGTTTTGCATGACTCTGATCAATATTTTTGCTGTTGTCACTGGCAGTGGTTAAGGAACAGCTTTTGAGGGAGGGGCAGCCTGGGCTTTACCTATTAGGGGGTTTCATTGCAGATCTGATAGCTGGCATCACAGAACAACTTCTGCTCCTGAAAGGAAAGGCCAGCAGGGCCTATGCAAGGCCTTTGTCAACAGCTCCATGTCCATTTTTCTCCCCGGCAGCCTTTGGACCCAAAGCTCCATCCACCCCACGCACACATCTCGCATTCCTTGGGATGCAGAGTCATCCAGCTCAGAGTTAGAGACGTTCCTTCCAAGGTCCTTTTGGAGATTTAGCAGTGTGGCTAGTGAAATTTTCTGCTTTAAGTCTAAGTGTGGAATGGCTGGCCATGCCATTGATGCCCATCATGGCCAGCAAGCTAGATGCCAGTGACGAGAGGGGAAGGGCCGAGGGTCGGTGTCTCTGCCACGTCACCGAATGCCTGCCCTTAAGACCAAGTCCACACACAGTTATCTCACACTCCCCAACCACACGCCAGCTGAGGTTCCAAAGGCTGCCGTCCCCCCGAGGTCCCCAGCACGGTCCCAGTGCACCGCCCCCATGCGCCAGCGTCTTCACGGAGGGAACGCACACCCTGGGCAAACAGTCAGTCCAATTAATACACGCTGAAAAGCATCCGTGGATTGGGCCGTGTCGTTTCCCGGATCCCCAAGGCACGCCTGCCGTGTGAGTGATGGCTTCCTCCCCCTCCACGCATCATTGCTCTGGTTCTGTTTCCAAGGTGGGCTCCAGGTGACGGCCAGCAGGATCCCTCTGAGCTGCAGCCCCGGGAAGAGCCTCGTCACCTGGGTTCCTGGCATTTCCCCGGCGCAAGTGCATGACGGGTGATGGTGGGGGCAAATCCCTGTTGTCTTGAGGGTCCGCAGCACTTAGGATGTGGGGGTCCTCCTGGCTGTAAGGTGGAGCAGGTTCCCCGGAAAAGGGCTCCAGTTCAACATTAAATGGCCCTGGGTCCTCAGCGCTATAAGGCGGAGGCATCTCGTAGGGCGGCGGTGGAGGGCCCATGCAGCTCGGCAGGGGAGAACCCGCAAAGTCCAGCTCGATGTTCTCTGGGCCCCCAGCATTGGGGGCGTTCCAAACCCAGAGAGATCCTGGCATGTGCCAGTACCTCTCATTCAAGCAGGTGAAGGCAATCCACATTAAGCCCCAAGTGAAGAGCACGACCAGAGTCAGGATGGCGGGCCAGCCTGGGAAGAGAGGGAAAAACAGTCATTCCTTTCGGCACGTGTCCCATCCTCTCCTTCCTCATGGGCACGAGCCTCCCCCGCATGGTGGAAATGTTGTACGTTCACAGCACACATGCCTTTTGCCCCAGAGGCTGGCCAGGTGGGGCTGCTTTTGGGGGAGGGGTGCTCAGACGCCCACCCAGGGCCCCTGGATGGGCTGCGCAGGCCCCCCTTGCGGGCTGCTGGCTCCCCGGCCTCCCACTCTGCCCTAGGTGGGCGGCAGCAGCCACTGCCGCAGCCTTGCCGATCCCTGGCTCTCTGGAGCAAAGGGCAGCAACGCCGAGGAGGAGCCAAAGCAGCTGGTGGCAGTGGGGGTGGGCCCCCCTGGGGAAGCTCCTGGAGCCAGCACCCCAAGGAGCCCCCACCTCCCTGAGCCCCCTTCCACCCAGTGGGCCAGATTGCATGGGAAGGACTCAGGCTCTCCCAGCTTGTCTGCACTTGCGTTCTCCTTTCCAGACCCACCTTGCACAGTGCTTAAGCGAAGGGGTGGAAAAGCCGCTTCCAGTAACACCAGTGGGCACTCCAGGCCCTGGGAGACAGACCTGGGACCACAGACCATAGGTTTGGAAACAGCCAGGTGTGGGTCTGGAGCCCCATGAACCAGGGCTGGATTGGGCCCTTGCCAAGAACGGAAGAACTTCCAGCCTAAGGGCAAAATTCCGTTTTGGAGCAGCTGGAGGGAGGCTTTCCCGCAGTGAGCTTGGCAGAAGCTAAAAGGGGATCAAAACTACCACCCATTTTCACGTAGCTCTCTTACAGCTGGTAACTAACCCTTCGGAGGGATTTTGGGGGGGGGGGGGGGAGCACGAAATCCAGCAATCAGTGGCCAAGGGAAATAGGTTGAGCCGGGAGAAAGAGGTGGGACCACCTAAGCATTCCTGGCTGCACTAAAATTGTCCCCTGCACCCAGTGCAATGAGAGGGGTGCAGGGGCCAGTTGGAAGGAAACCCCAGAGATGTGGGAGGATTAGCACAGCCCTTCCCAACCTGGGTCCTGCCAGGTATGCTGGACGACACCCAGCTGGGGGGATCTGGGTGCTGTCTTCCAACACACCTGGAAGCAACCTGGGTTGGGAAAAGCTCTTCTAGCTAGTCCATATTGGAGAGGACAGACAGACCATGAAAGATGCCCAAGGAAAAGAAATATGTGCCTCGCCAGGATCCAGTAGAAACTGCCCCGGCTGGTTAGGCCAAGTTGTCTTACTCGCTTCATCTTGCTTGGGCGGAGGCTGAGTAGGTTCTGGTTGCTGGGTGCCTGAGGGAACCGCAGTCTGGTAGCCCAGGCCAATGCATTGCAGCTGGTCAAGACGGGCGTCTTCGGAGGAGCAGCAGTAAGGCGCGCTGCAGGTCCCGCAACAGAACTTGGTGTCCGCACCATCGTGCAGCTGCGGGCATCGGAAAGCAGCGTAGGTCCACCCACGGCACAATTCGCCCTCCATCCTGGCACATGCTTCTCCCCGAGAGGACCAGAGCAGGACACAGAGCAGGACACAGAGCTTACTTCCAAGCAGCAGGCACCTCCAAGGTTGCACTTTCATCTTTCAGAGTTGCATTGGTTGCTTGCTTATCTCCTTTCGCCCTCTGCTTCTTATCCCTAGCGAAGCCCAAAAGTAACTCCTCCTACTCCCAAGAAACCGTCTAGTGAGGCAGAGAAAGACGATTCACACTGGCTGGGCTGGCCCTTTTCTTCACCTTTCCATCAACAAAGACACCACCCATCCTTCTCACCTTAGAGAATGCTCTCAAATGGATCCACCTGGATTGGCCCAGTTTTGACTCCGATTTGTGGCCACTGAGAGCTACATTTACTCAGAAGTAAATCTCATTGTTTTTAATGGGATTCACACCACTTTTACAAGAAAGGGCTATTGGGTTCTGTGAGACCTCCTTGTTTGTAAGGAGACACTGCATGTTTATTCAGAAGCAGCGTTTTCCATTTTGGTGGTTCTTACTCCTGTAAGAGTGGCTTATTAGGAGAACAGACACTGTTGAAATGGATAACATATCAGATACTGTTTGGTGCCAAAATGTTATTTATCCTCAAATTCTATTGCTCAAGGAAAGGACACTGCAGGCAATACTGAAAATATATTGTAGTGTGGAGAGTTTGTGCAGAAGAATATGGTATTGTTTCTTCAGAGGGTACTCCAGTGAGCCTCAAGATGGAAGACCTGAAGCACCGCAAGGTATTTTGACTTTTCCTCGATGAATTTTCACTGGTTTAAAAAAAACCCGATGGAAATATCCACCGAGGAGGAGGTTACCCACAGCTGCTAGGCTGGCTAGTTATGAGCTACCTCCTTGACCAAAGGTGGCCTGCCTACCCATACCAGTTGCTGAGGGGCTTGGCCAGGAGGAAGCCTTCCACCCACCCTGTTGGAGGGATCCTGAGGGAGCTGGTTTGCCACCGTGTGTGCAGATTGTTGGACCGTTTGGACCCTGGGTCTGATCCAGCAGGGCTTTTCTTATGTTCCTGATCTGGGAAAGCCAGAATTAGGCCATCCAGGATCCCGTATCAAGTTGCATGGAAGGGAGAATACTAGCAAGTGAAAAATTCACTGTGCAGTTAAGCTGTGACAGCTGATGAGGTTTTTCAGTCCTTGCAAGTCTGCAAAAATATTGCTCCTACAGCATCCAGACCTAAGAATTCTCCATGCCTCACAGTGCATCTGGTTTCACTGAATACCAAGGTGATACATCTGCTTCTTGCAGATGCGATAAATGTGTGCACCTGCACAGCATGTGGGTAGGCAGATGGAGACTAATTTCACTTCCACTCCTTGGAGTTGAGGCATTTCCACCTGTCCACTTCTCCCTCCACATCCTGCTAAGTACCTAACTGGATACTTGAAGGAACACCTGCTTCCATATTTGCCATCCCACCCCTTGAGATCGGCAGCAGAGGCCCTCCTCCGGGAACCCTACGTGAAAGACCTCAGGAGGCAAAGTACCCGGAGGAGGGCCTTCTCTGCGGTGGCGCCCCATCTGTGGAATGTGCTTCCCAGAGAGGTCCACCTGGCACCGTCATTATTTGTTTTTCTGCACCAGGTTAAGACCTTTTTATTTCAACAATATTTAACAACGTTTAATATTATCTATAGGTTTTAACTTCCAGCCAGAATGAATCGGGGTTTTTAATTTGTGAAATTTGTATTTTTGTATTTGTATTGGGCACTATGTTGTCTATTTATGTTTATTTATGTAAGCTGTCCTGAGGCGTTAAGCGATGGGATGGCACATAAAAACTCCAGACAAATAAACACACTGAAGTCTACTCACATACCTTGCTTCAGAAGCACTAGCAAACTACTGAGTCACAATGTGGACTGGGACGCCACAGTGGCTCTTGTGTCCGGTTCCATTGCATCCTCCACTACTGACCAAGGCACAGCCTTGGGCTGAGCACACCCGGAATCAGCCTTCAGCAATGGCTGAACAAACCACATCAAGGAGGCCAAATCAAAACACACAGAGTATTTTTATTGATAATACAGGCACACACGTTTCTAAGCATGCATCCAAGTGCCTGCGATAAAAACATTCTGGGAACATTTTGTGCAGTGAACATAGCAATGCATTTCATGAGGTCAATACAAAAAGCCCTGGGGACCATCTGGCCGACGGCATCCATGGGAACGATGCACAGACCCCAGGTCTGTGACAGAGAGACCCAAAGCTTTAACAGGAGCAGGCACCCAGACTGAATTATTCCTGAGGTTGTAGGAAGGAGCAAAGACACCAAAGCACCGTCTTCCCCACCCTTTCAGTTCTGTGCTATTTTTGCTGTTTCTTCCCTTGCGATCTTTGTCCTGTGGTGCAGGACAACCTCATTCTTTGCCTGCTGGATGTATCTATAAAATGGGAGAATTAGCTCTGCCTATCAAAAGAAAGGCATACTTACTGCAAGGACAGTTCAGCACTTCACCATAAGTGGAGCAACGTGCTCAAGAAATACACAGCAATATTTCCATGCAATATTCGGTGGTGATGCACTTCCTCCGATTATGGAAACAAGATGATAAACTCAAAGGGTTATAAATATCCTATGCACAGCAGGCACGGGAGGGACAATCGTAGCCACAGCTTACCTGCATGTGTCATTGGACTGGCATTTTTCCCAGTCTAGTTGAGGCGTTTTGGAGGGGGAGGCGAGGAAGCGGAAGACGGTCCAGGGCAGTTCATCCAGGTCTCCTCTCCAGCCTCCTGCCTTCCCCATTCACCAGAACGCCTCCCTGTCCCCGCGCAGAGGTTTCAGCACCCTGGACAGCAGCCAACGTGGGTTCCCCCCCCCCCCCCCACACACACACAACTGCCGTGACTGAACAATGGTTGTCCTTCCTACAATGAACCTGTTGAAATCGATGGGGCTTAAGTTAGTCACCTATGTCATGTTGATTTCCTTGGGTCTACTCTAAATAAAACTAGTTGTTTCTGATGGAGATGGGACATCATTATGGCTAGAGCCCTTAGCGGTGTCCCTTCTAAGCCTTGATATTAGAATTGGCCCCAAATCGCGCTCTGAGGTTTGTCAGACGAGAACGTTTTCATCCCGCACTTCTTTTCCCATGCATTTTATCTCAATCCTGTATTTTTCATTTCTCATTACATGACCCAAATCGTCCATGAAATTCATCTATCGAAGCCAAACAAAAACGTGCATAAAGCGACCTTTGTCCCAATTCTCCCGGCGGCGGCTAGGGGACGAAAGTGAATTCAGCACTCGGCGAGGGCCGACTGTAGCTGCGCGAGGCGCCCTGCGGAGAGGGGGCGAGGCAACGGGCGGCTGCCCTGGCTTGAGATGGCGCGAGCGGCTTCGCGGCGCCGCGGGCTCGCCTCCGCTGCGACTCTCGCGGAGCCTCGCGATGTTTCGCGGCGAGCGGCGGGAGCGGGCCGCGGAGGAGGCCGGGCCTGCGCCCGGAGCGGGCCGGGCGGGAGGCGAGCGAGGCGGCCGGCGCGGGGAGGTCCGCCTCGGCCATGGAGCACATCACGACGCCGAAGGTACGCGGGGGCGGGCGGCCCCTTCCCCAGACGCCCCCCGCCCGCCACGCAGGGCGGACCTCCGCGCAGAAGCTGGCTCTGCGTGCGAGAGGCCGGGGCGCAGCGTATGCCCGGAAGGCGGTCGCCTCTGCTCATGTGCAGAGTGCATTTCCGCATCCCTCTGCCCCGAATCGGCCGTGCCGGGGCCAGGTCTCGCTTCGCCCCGGCAGCGGCTGCTCAGCTCGCTGCAGGAAGGAATCGCCCCGGGGGGTTGCTGGCCTCCTCCTCCTCCTCCTCCCCCCCCCACATTTCCGGCCATACCCACCCCGAGCCCTAGGCATAAGTTCGAGGGACTCTGCCTCTTTCTCGGACCCGGAGCCTAGTTGGGACTGGGGCGACTGGGGACGTAGAAGCTGGTGCGGTGTTCCTAATTCATCTCCGAGGGCAGCACTAGTAGGGGAATGCACTCTGCACGTGGTCAGAGAGGCTTGCCCTCCATTGCACAGGGTGTGCCCACAAGCCCTTGCATTCTGAAGCATTTTCAGGGCTGGAAACCTGCCTCTTGTACGAATGGTGGACTGCTGGGAATTTGGGGCAGGGAAGGCTAGGCAAGTCTCTCCGGAGGAGAGAGAGACTTTAAGGTGGCAGCTGACATTCTGCTGATAATTGCTGTAGAGCCTCTGAGCATATGGGGAGTGTATTTGTGCATGCTGAGTATACCTTGCACAGTTGCTGAACGTGTTAGGAAACTTAACAAGATGGAACATCATCATCATTATTGTAGTGCGTTTATGCCCCACGGATCTTCCTTTTGCAAGGACCCAAGGCAGCATAGAAGATTCTCCTCTCCATGTTATCCTCAGCCCTGTGAGGTGGGTTAGGCAGAGAATCTGAGACTGGTCCAAAGTCACCCAATCAACTTCATAGCTGTGGGAGAAGTAGATCCCGGATCTCTCAGTACAGCATTCTTAACCACACTGTCTCAAGAAGTCTTGGAAGTGCCTTAGCTTACCACAGAAAGCCTGTTCCTCCACAGGTAGCTTAGGTACCTCATGGCTTTGATTTCTGAGCTAAACCATTCAGGATGCTTGGATTGAGGGAGGGAGGGAAGGCTGTTTCTGTTGTGCAAGCATCGTGGCTTTTGTCCTGTAGAACGCTATAATCTTGCAATATTCTGAGATGCCCCAGGTAGACAGACAAAAATGCCTCTCGTTCCCCTTCCCCTCTGCATAGGATGCCTGCAGGCCTCCAAGATTGGGGGCTCACAAGCAACATGATAGGATTATGTTCCAAGGCTCTTTCTGGACTAGCTGGTGGTAGGAATGCCCAGGGTAAATTTGCTTGCCAAGGAGGAGCACAGGAATGATTAACTTAAGGAGCAAGTGTAATGCATGAATAATGCCAGGGCTGATCAGTTACTAAGGGGAGGCAGCAGAAAAGGAGATAGGTAGCCAGTAGCCTGGTGCACGGGATAAGGAGGGGCTGTGCCTGCAGGATGCTCCTGTCTGAGTCCCTGGTGTGTTGGATGGGCTCTGTTGGAAGAGTGGCCAGCAGATCGTCACGGTTCAGCAGGGAGTGTGGTGAAGCCATGCCAAGGAAGAGCCACATAGCAGATGGCCTGGGTGTGGCTTTCCCCAAGTCTGTTCTTTAGGCAAGAGCTGCTTTTAGGCGTGAGCACTGAAACTGTTTCTTTTACAGAAACCGCTTCTCCCGCACTGTCTTCCAGGAAGGGAAGTTAGAGCCTCTGTAGGTTGAAACAGTGGCAGAGGGGAACTTTATAAAAGTCATGGCAAGGGGTGTTGTGTTTGTTCTTGGCATGGGGAGAGGAATTCCTGTGTGCCTTGCCCAGGCAACCTGAAGCGAGGTTGAGGGGAGCATCTGCTTGTCCTTGTGGGTTCGTATGAATAGCTCTGTGCAAGGGGACCCTGCAACAGTGTTGCAGCAGAGAGTGTTGATGTTTAGGTTGCCAGCCAACTATTCCTTCTTGTGGTACATTTGCTTATCTTCCCCAGCAGACGGTCAGCATTCTGTGGCCACTGAGTGTACTCGGTTCTCGTTTGGCTTTTTTATTTATTTATTTTTTATTTTCTTGTGAGGTGGCTGATTCCTTAGTGTTTCCTAAACAGTCTTCTGCCTTGCCAATCCAGGGGTTCCATGACACCTCCCTTTTATCTCTGGGTTGGCTTATTTTGCCTGCAGTCTTGTGCACTACTCAAGGGACCAATTATTGTGTCCAGTGCCGGAGGGAAGGCTGAGGTCACCAGTAAATTCAGTGGCAGAGAGAGAAGGCAAGTCGGGGGGCTTCCTGATTCATGACAGTTGGTCAGCCGTTAGGATAACCCATCGCTCTGTTACTCTGTTTCCCAAAGACTTGGATTAAATCTCCACTAGAATTCTTTTTGCAAACTTTTGGATAAACATTAGGTCATCTGAAGCAAATATTTTGCTTAGCCAGCTTTGTACCTGTGGGAACACTCAAGCTTTGGATTCCGGTCGTTAATATGATTCTGGACACAATAACATTTTTTGAAGGAAAAATGGTCAGTGAGTAACATGAAGATGCTTCAGTATCAAGCTTTATTTTTAAAATACCTGTGAATTCTCTCTAACCTGAACATCAGAATCTTATCTGAAGATGAAAGAACCCGAATACCTTTTTTCCTCTAACTTCATTTCATCATATCTGAGTGATGTGGTTAAGGAAACCAAACACTTCACAAATTAGCAATAATCAAGCACTCAGATATCAGGGAAACTTGGGGCTTAGCCACCTTGCCCTGGCATCGTGTGCTTCGCTCTCTGGTTTCCTGTTTTGTTGGCAGTTGTCTTAACAGATGACACAGGAGCATGAGAATTTCTTCCCTTACTCTGTGCCGGAGAACTGAGCTAATGCATCGGTTGTCCATTACTTGTTCTGCGGTTTCTGCCCTGGCTTTAAAACTGCCCCCTGCAGATGTTGTTCCGTTTTAAGTTGAAAGCATGGAAGTGCTTTGCATTGGTTTACCGTGCAGGGAAATCTGAAGCTGATTTGCGGATTTACAGCCTGCCATGTCTGCAAAATAGCGAGGTGAGCAAACCTTCCCATCTTCAGTTACTGAAACTAACCTGTGCCCCCAAAGCCCACCTGAGCAGGTGGGCCTTTCAGAGACCGCCCACATTTGCCATCCAGAAATGATTCACTGGAAGGCTTTTTGCCAGTGAAATATGAGTAAGGGAGGTGATTGAGCTGCTTTCAGCTGCCATGTTGTCTTTTTGAAGGATATATAAGCTGACACTTAGCCCTTTTCTGCATGGATCCAAAGCCAGCTGTGCTCCAGTCCTCTCAGGTTTAGCATCTGCCACTGGCAAAACAGTGTCTGGGTCTGCACGACTCGATAAGCTACTGTGGGTTATAAGCCACAGTGCCTTATTGTGTCTGAACAGAGCAGTTTGAAAGGGGCTTGTAAACCACCCCACCTGGCCGCGGCATGGTGCAGAGTTTAATCCATCCCTGTTGCTTATTGTGTTCTCCAAAGTCAGACAACAAAATAAGCCATGGCCAGATTTAAAAAGCAGGGAGCCCCTTGGCAGGAACAGTGGAAAAGCTTGCCTCTAGCCAAAGGGCCAGTAACCAGCTGCCTTTTCCATGCACCCTAAAGTATCCAAGCAGGACTTGGGACAGCTGAGAAGGGGTCCCCACAAGGGGTGGTAAGCCATTCAGCGCTGGCTGTGACTTGGCTTTTTTCTTTTTTAAAAAAACATCATGAAAGCCACCATTAAAAGAGCTTTCCTGATCGGATTTTGGTTTATCTAGGAGCTGACTTGCCCAAGAATGCCCAGTGCGGGGGGGCTGCCCATGTTTGCACACTGATTTTTTTTTTAACATTAAAGTATTCCTCACTTCCCTACACATGGTGTGAACATGTAAAAATAGGAAATTTCAGCTCCTTGTCAAGCCACGGGAGACTGTGCTTCACAGAAAGGGTCTGTTTCCCCCTTTTTGCAGTGTGAGCCCCTTGGTTTCTTTGCGTACAGACCTCGTGCGCAAAACTGTTTTCTGTCCCAAAAATGAGTGTATTCTTGTGTACAAAAATCCAATCCCGTTTCCTTTGGGGCTGCCTAGCTTAAGTGATTTTTGCAAAGACATGGAGAATCTCAAAATGGCCATGGGTCAAGTAGCGAGCTTGTATGTAAAAAAAGCTCGGTCTCCTAGAAGTCATTTTTCCTCATCTCAGGTGACAGATGAGCGGCTCTTATTGATGCCTGGCAAGAACATTGAAGAACAAGGCTTTGTGCTTAATTATCATAACAGTTACATTGTTTACATTTGTCCAGTAACTGGAGCGCTCACTTCCAACCCAACACAAAGCATTCAGTGCAAAGAGTTTGCGTCCTACCTGGGTTCGCGGGTGGTTTTCAAGTGCTGTGTCTTAATCGGTGTGTTACTGCTCTTTCCAGTATGTTCTAATCGGTTCCTTTCTTCCCCCACTGCACTGCAGGTAGAAAATGTCAAATTATTAGATCGGTATACCAACCGAAAGACAGCAAATGGGACGCTGTATTTGACCGCAACTCATTTGATCTATGTGGATGCTTCAGCTGCAGTTCGAAAGGAGACATGGGTAATACCGGAGCACGCGGGCAGCCTGAGAACCTGGTTGGGGACATCTTGTGAGCAAAAGGGCTGTGCTGATTTCCGTGTTTCTGTGCAAACCGCTTAACCCCATTAGCGCCCAGTGATGCCATTTAGCTAATCCTGATAAACTTGGCACAAATGTGAGGACCTAGGAGGAGCCCTGGTGGATTGGACCAAGAGTCCAGGTCTCTCTTTCCAACCATGGTCGGCCAGGTATGTCCTGAAAGTCTGCAAACAGGGAATGAAGCCAACAGTGCCCTTCCTCTGTTCTCTCTAGAGCAGCTGGTGTTCAGCAGCACGTTCTGTTGCTTCTGCAGTGCCATTGTGGAAGTTTTGCATACAAGGGTAGCGTCGTTTAGAGATTCACATCTATTACGATCTAAGTTTGCACCTTTGAAAGTTCAGCCATACTTTGCTCACACAATTATATCTTGCCAGAATGGTGTCTGCACGCTAGGGAGATGAGAGAGGGAGATGAAGGTACCAATTAATCCTTGACTGTTTATTTTCTTCCTTGTATATTCGCACTGCATTAATTTTATTTCATGAAAAGGGAAATGTAAAAGCAGCCTGGAAAATAAGCCCCCTCTCAAGTTTTTCACCTGAAAGTTTTCTTCCTAGCTCTGCCTGCCCACACGCTCCTGTCTTAGTCATTTGTACCTTCAAAGAAAAAGAGAATCAAAGTCTATAAAGCATTCCTGCCTGGAGATATTTGCCTCGGGGAAGTGGCTGTTTACAAGCCTGATTCAAAGTACCTGCATCATCCCAGATTTAATTCATGCTCATGAAATGAATCGGCTTACTGAACACCATGGGTGCCTGCGGATCATGACGGCCCAACTCTGAGATTTCACGTTGTGGGAGTCAGATTACGACATCTTTCATGCCGAGTCACAATTCTCAATTCTGCCCTGGCTGTTCAGTGGTTCAAAAGCCTGAAGAGCTGCTGCTTGCAGTTAGGGTGACTCAGTTTCAGTTGTCAAGCCACTTCCTCCAGATTGGCACCAGGACTTATTTTGAGTTGCAGTCTGTGAGAAGAAAGTCCAAGCAACATCCTCATGGGCTCTCTTCCTGTTTTCGACAGATTCTTCACCACCACATCGCTGCTGTGGAGAAGCTGCCGCTGACGGCGTCTGGGTGTCCGCTGCTTATTCACTGCAAGGACTTCCGTGTGGCTCACTTCGTTGTTGGGCAGGAGAGGGACTGTCACGAAGTCTACATGTCCTTGCTGAAACTCTCACAGCCAGGTACCTGTGAAGTACCCCCTCTTTCAATACCCTGGCAGTGCAGTTCCAAGGAGGCAAAACGCCTCTTTCTGATCTTTCAATACCTCTTGAACCAGACACAGGGAAAGGAGGGCACTGATAAGAAACACCATTCCAGTCAGGAGAGGAAATATCCTCTCTTTTGTCCTGGCAGGATAATGGTAGTCATTCACAGACCCTCCCTTTGTCTTGTATACATTGAAGTAGCTGTCAGTGTTCCGACAATCTTACTTGTTTGACCTTCTGGAAATATTTTTAGTCAGCTTTGGGGACCTCTGCAGTAATAAGTCGGCAGTGCTAGGAAAAATCATGCTGATAAAAAGAGAAATTAAAGCACAAAGTATGACTCTTTAGCTGTGCTTATCAGCTGAAAGGTTGGGAAATCCAGTTTTCTGTACCTTGAATAAAATATTGGTACAGAGCACAACAGTTGGTGATGTGCAGAGATCTGGAACTTTTTTTTGCCTGAGGGGCCCAATTTTCTCCGTTTGGTATGAGGGGTGATATAGCCATAACATTTCAGTGGAAACATGCCAGTTTTATCTGACTTTGCTAATACCAGATTAGCAATTGCACCTTCAAGATCCACTAAAATGGGAAGAAGGGATTTGAAACCATTACTTGAAGGAACGCCTGCAGCCGTATTTGCCCTCCCACCCCTTGAGATTGGCAGCAGAGGCTCTCCTCCGGGAGCCTTCTGTAAGAGTTACCAGGAAGCAAAGTACCCGGAGGAGGGCCTTCTCAGCGGTGGCGCCCCATCTGTGGAATGCGCTCCCCAGAGAGGTCCACCTGGCGCCATCGTTATTTGTTTTTCGGCGCCAGGCCAAGACCTTTTTATTTAAACAGTATTTTAATAATCTTTAATATTTATAGTTTTAATTATGCAGCCAGTGTGTTTCCAAGTTTAAATTGTAATTTTATTTGTTTTATTTATTTGTGTTGTGAGCCGTCCCAAGGTTGTGTAGCAATGGGGACGGCATATAAAAACTTTAAATTAATTAATTAATTAATTAATTAATTGTAGTTTGGGTATGATAGTGCTATATTGTAATTATACTGCTATAGAAAGCTGCCACTGCATTCAGTGCAAAATGGAATTAATTAGTGGGGATGCTAATGTGTATAATTCTAACATTCTATTGTGATTATTCCATCTATATTGTTGGCCACCAGGAGCACTAATTTTAGCAGAAAATAAATGAATCCAATACATTTATCCATACAGAGTGCTTTAATGCATGTAGCAGCAACCTTCTGTCAGTTGGTGCCTTTCACATGGGGTACGGGAGAGCAATTCACATGGGGTACGGGAGGGGTTCTCCGGACTGCGGTGGGGACCTTCACAGGCCTAGTGAGGCTCCCAGACCTGGAGCTGACCTTGCTGATCTTAGAAGGAAGCCTCAAAGCAGTTTCTGTTTTCTTACCACTCGAGCTAATTGTAGCCTCTATCCTGCATGACTTCCCATAATTCTGTTATAGTTCAGTTGCTCCACAGAATCTATCTATCCTTGGCAGATAACATAATCACTCTTTATTTGCCAGTAGTTGAAGATCACCTGTTTGGCACCCTGACTATTTTATCAGATACCGGCAGCACTGGGTCTGTCCCTGGAGAGCTTCCTGCTTTGAGAGTGTCAGCAGGATGAGTTGTCAATCGGACCTGTATTTTTCAAAGGCAGGGAAGGAAGCCTGACAGTGGAGACAGTGAAGAGGGGCAGAGCAGAGCTTTCATTGGTCTGTTTGAATACGAATGCTGTCACAGGTTTGGACCACTGCTCCATTTCCCCAGCAAATTTGAGAGCAGGGCAGCGGGACGCTGATGAAATGAGTGCAGAGCTCTTCCATATCAAGCCCATAATGCTTTTCACTGTCTAACACGTGGTAAGTAATGACACAAATAACGAAGAGGAAGGAAGCGTGCCCTGGAGGAAGGACCACAGCCAGTTTGTTTATGTCTTTTCATGTCTTTCATACTTTCAAACAGTGTTGCACAGAAACTTTATGAAAGCTGGTTCCCTTTTATGACAAAATTGATTATCATGGGCATGTGTGGTTTAGCAGGAAAAGTTTCTAGTAAAATGCCTTGTTAGTAACTTTAGGCCTTATTTTCAGGGGATTGGAAAGTTGTTGAAAATGAATCTAAATGGTGGAACGAAAGAGGCAGCTCTGAGTTCCACCTTTCTTGCGGGCATGTGAGTCATTTTCTAAAAGACGCTGGCGGGAGCTCCGGACCAAAACGATTGATTTTTGCCTCTGTTCTAGTGAAACCAGAGGAGCTGTATGCATTCTCATACAACCCCAAAATGCCCAAGGACAACCGGGAGATGGGCTGGAAGCTGATAGATGTCAAAATGGACTACCAGCGGATGGGGATTCCAAATGCCTACTGGGAAATCTCGGATGCTAATAAAGACTATGAGGTAACTTTTGCCCAGTGGCAACTCAGCACAGTATTCTGTTCAGAGGACGTGTTGTGCGACTTTTTGCCATTTTGGTTTTACTTGGAAGCTCCCGTGGAAGTATTTATCATCCTTCAAGGGCAGGTACTAAAAATAATTTATTAGAACAGGGGTGCTGTCAGATGCCAAGGGAGCCCTGATTGATACTTCTTGCTTTGCGTTCCTCTTCTGAGAGCAAATTTAGAATGAATGCTTAGGTTTGAGGAGAGACCGCAGCTCAGTGGTAGGGCACCGCCTCGGCATACAGAAGGTTCCAAGTTCGATCTCTGTCATCTGCAGATAGGGCTAGGAGAGAACCTAATTGGCAACCCTAAGCGCCACTGCCGGTCAGTGTTGGAGCTGCTGGTGGAGCAAAGTCTGCATGCACAGCTTCCTGTATGCCTGTCTCATTTTACTTGTAACAGTAGAATTTTACACTCATTGCAAACAAACCCAATTAACATTCCTGGGCTCTTGAAGCTAATTTTGCTTTAATTTCAGTGGTGGGTAGATTATTGTCAGCAAGCACTAAGTTGCGTCTCTGCAATAAACACTTCAGCACGCTAATATCGCACTGATGAATAATTTAATGTCTGCGTGCTTGCTCCTTTCCGCTTCTTATTCCCAGGTCTGCAACACGTACGCTCCAGAACTAGTGGTGCCTAAAGCAGCAACTAGGGCGATGGTGCTGGGGAGCTCGAAGTTTCGAAGCCGAGGTCGGATACCGGTGCTTTCCTACTTCTACAAAGAGAATAATGTTAGTCATGCATGTTCTGCTCTCTATGGGGTTCGGCCTGCCTCCGAGGCCAGGTGGCGGCTGTCCAGCACAAGGAATGAGGCTTCACTGATTAGGGTCGTCCCTGGGGGTTGGTTCTGCTCAGTGAGCTGATGGAGGGTCCCCTGGGAAATGCACTTCGAGTGGGGAATCACGTTTCTGAAGCTCCGCCTTCAGAGAACCGTCTCTGGAAGGAAGAAAGCCCAGTAGGGAGGCAGCTTGGCACAAACTCTGCCCTTTCCATGTTTAGGTTTCTAACAAGTGTGCTCAAAACTATGATGTTTCCCCCCCACATGAGCACACACACGCACAGGTGCATGGACACGTACTGCAGAAATGGCCGAGGAAATAAGATGGGCTAAGATCAATCTTAAACTAGAGATTTATTGTTCTCAACATTAGGATGTCCTGGTTTGATTTTTCATTTAGATTCGAGGATTCACGTCCATGTTTTAAAGAAACTTTTGGAAGGTTAAACTGAACTCCTAAAATGTGTGTGTGTGTGGTGGGGGGGGGGGTGAGTTTCCGAGTTTCCAACCGAAGTATTTTCACTTGCTGTGAATAAAAGTGACACAAATTGGCCTGGATGGAGCAGCAGCTGCTTTGTGACGGCAGCCAGAGGGCTCTGAGCTCGCCGCAGCTGGCTTGCAGAAGGTCTGTCCCTCCGTTCCCTTGCTGCCCCACACCCTGATTGCCCCACTCTGTGTCTGCAGCCATGATGGGGCAGAACCAGCTCCTTGCTCGGCATGCAGGTGCTGCTCTTTGGTGCCTGCAGGTGTCTCGGTGAAACGTCCCTGGAGGTCCCAAGAGGACCAATTTCAGATAAAATCACATGTCTGTAAATTGGCGGAAGAGATAAATAGGCAGAGATGGGGTGTTTCTTCCGGTTGTCATGGACCAGTGTCCCACCGAGTTCCATTCAAGTGCTTGGTGGCAACTTTTCATAACAATCCACTTTAAGAGCGTCTCTTCCCGCCTTCGAACTATAGAGCCCATCACACTGGGAATCTTGAACTAATTGCATCATACCTGTTCCAGTCTCAGCCTCTTGGGCCTGGGGAAATAGCTTGGGCCAGATTCCGCTATCATCATCTTCATCATTAATGATCTGATTAAGCAAAACTGGTTCTCTTTGCAGAATAAAATGTGGTGTGCTTAGCTTTTAACTTTGCTGTGTCCGCAGTCCTCTAGTGAACTTGTTTACCTGGAAACTCCTTAACCAGGGGAGTGTGTCCTGTCAAACTTCCATTCTGGCTGCTCAGCATTGCTGCCAATGTGGAATTAAAGCTAAGTAGAGACAGAGTGAAGGATAAGTGAGGAATTATGACCTCATTTCCCAAAAGGACATTGACTTGGCAACATTTAAGTAGAGGCAGTTTCTTCTAAATCTCCTTATGCCTTTGGGGTTCAAATGAATTCCAAAGGGCTAGTAAACTTCCAGATTGTGTCTATACCAGTCTCCCCTAGCCTGGACTCCAACCCCCATCATTCCTAGCCAGTGCAGTGATGGTCACTGAGCCAAAGCAAGTCCTTCTGGAATTGCTGCAGCTCCATACAAATTATGAATGAGGGAGAATATGTTATTGGATAGTTATTTTAAAAACTCTCACCTGGTACTAGATACATAAGAGGAAGTAACTTGAGTTCAATTTTAACCAGAATTTACTGAGTTTGTACCTCTCAAATGTGACCCTGATCGCAGTCTGTGGTCGAAATCCATACATTTCCAAGCTTGCTACGGACCAAAAAAGTTGGAAAATTCGTGCATTGGAAAAAAGAACATGGAATAATGCATATAACTGAAAACACACACAAGCTTACCAGGAGAAAAGCATGCCAGCGTAACAGACACCTTTGGACAAATGTACACAGAAATGCACGTGAAGTTTCATGAAAAAGGGAAACAGTCCGAAGCAGAGATAAGTTGGAGCAAGGTTTGAATCCAAATTCAGAGAGAGTTGAGATTGCTTGCTGGTTTGCACATCGCTCCGTCTCTGCTACATCCTGCAAACGCTTTCTGTGTTTCAGGCTGCCATATGCCGATGCAGCCAGCCCTTGTCCGGATTTAGCGCTCGCTGCCTGGAGGACGAACAGCTGCTGCAGGAGATAAGGGAAGCCAACCCAGGGAGTCCATTCATGTATGTTGTTGACACAAGGCCCAAGGTATGACTCGCTGGAATCTCGGAGCACTTGCTGGATTCAGTGACTGACAGCATCTGTGAGTGTAAGAGCACCATCGACAACTTTTGCCGTTTGATTTTTCCAGCTGAATGCCATGGCCAACCGAGCGGCAGGGAAGGGCTATGAGAATGTTGACAATTACGACAACATCCGTTTTAAATTCATCGGTATCGAAAACATCCATGTGATGAGGAGCAGCCTGCAGAAGCTCTTAGAAGGTGTGCATTTTGCTTTTCTTCATGCTTTGCCTGTTGTGACCTCCCATTGCTCTCATTTACTGTAGAGTAGGCAGATCTTCCGACAGTGGGAACCCGTGGATTCTTTTGGTGTGGGACAGGAAGGAGAGGAGGCGAGTAAACATCTGCGATCTTAACTTGTTCCATCGCTCGATCTCCTTGCTGGTCTTAAGGCTTGCTTTGAGCCACTCCCTGGATGGATGGCCTTTCAGTTGTAATATTTACAACATCTGGGCGGGCACAATTGCTGCCATTCATTGAAAGATTGGCAGGAGCCTTATACACCTGCATATTCAGACAGAATCTAGAGTAGTGAGCAATGAAAAGATAAAGCTGATAAAAGAATGAAAACAATGCATTAAAAACAGACTAGCATTTAAACTATGGCTGGTCAGCAAGGAAGGTTTCCTGAAACAGGCTGTCAAAATTTAAAGCGCATCGGGGCCTCCTTGACCACCAGAGGCTCCGTAGCAGTGGAACTGTGACACTGAAGGCTCTTCTCTTCGTGGACTCCAGCTGGGTCGGAGGTCGTAGGATGTCCTCAGTGATTGGGCACATTGACAGAGGGAGGGTGCTCGGGAGTCCCTTGGGAGTCCTAGGCCCAAGTTGTTCAGGGTTTTGTCCACCAGTGGTTGGACCCTTAACCTAGCCTGATCCAGATAGGCACCCAGGGCAGTTCCTTCCGCAAGGGAGCCGCATGCTGAAAAGGGGCAGCTCCCAGCAGCATCCAAGTGTTCTGCCCAGCACGCTGCTCACCTCCCCACTCTTAGATAACTAAACCTGGGGTGGGGGGTGTTAATTGCAGCTTTTTGGAATGAGGAAAAGACTGCACAAAAGCTGGGAAACCACAGGGCGATGGGTGCAGGGGCAGCCAAGAAGAAGGAAGCGTGGCCATTGAGGGATCTCCAAGGGCTAGCTTGGAACCCCAGCTGGACTTGGCCACTGGCCTGACGCTTTCTTGGCTAGCGGTTTGTGAGTGGTGTTCTTGTCAAACTTTTCTCTGTTTGGGAATGACTTTCTGGTGGTACGGGGCAAAGCTGGCTGTTAATTCCCTTTGGAATCTTCTGCGTTTGTTGCTTTAGTGTGTGAAGCGAAGTCTCCTTCGATGAGCGATTTCCTTACTGGCCTCGAGAACTCCGGCTGGTTACGGCACATTAAGGCTGTAATGGATGCCAGTGTCTTCCTCGCAAAGGTAAATAGCGAAGGGGTTGGAGCAGTGGGCACACCCACGGTTCTTTGCGATGCATGAGAACCGGGAGAAGGACAGAGGTCGCCCCCTTTTGTGACCAAGGGCGATTAGGAGCAAATAGAGATGTACGCCAGGGTGTGTTTGGAGGCATGGCGAAATTTGCCTGCACTTCCGTTCCACTTGTGTGGGTTGGGCTCCTTACCCTCTGTCCAGACCAATATTGCATAACTTAGTACTTCAAGTATAACTGTCTGTTTTGATGTATGAGGATCGGCAAAGCTGCTTGCTTTTCTTCATCCATTTATTGTGGCACGGGCCTTCTCGCCACTTTGCAGGCAGTGACAGATGAGAAGGCCAGCGTCTTAGTCCATTGCTCGGACGGCTGGGACCGCACTGCCCAGGTCTGCTCCTTGGCCTGCCTCCTGCTGGATCCCTTCTATCGGACATTTAAAGGGTTCATGGTAAGAACATGGGGGCCGGGGGCTGCCGGCTTTTTTAATTATTGAAGTGTCACGATACATTGATGCCCCGCCTTTCTTCCTCATGCAAGGAACCAGGCTGGCTTACAAGGTTCTCCTGTCTCTTTTATCCTTAGGGGTATTGTGGGCAGGTTAAGCTGAGAGCGTGACCGGCCCAAGGTCACCCAGTGACTGCCACGGGTGAGTGGGGGCTAGAACCCAGATCCGCTGGGTCCCCAGTCCAACTCTCTAACCACCGTGCAATACTAATACAGAAAGGGAAATAATGACATAATGAAGTCTGCATAAAACATCCCATGCCGTAATCATTAGTGCAAACAGTTTATCTGAGGGTCGTGGCTGCTAACACTTTTGATGTCGCTTGTAAGTATCTGTAATCGTGCATGCATCAGAAGGAGAAAGGAATGCCTGGTTGCTGGGTCAGAGTTGTTGCTTAGAATCAGAGCTGATTTGGGCGTGCCGCTCTGCAGCCCAGTCTGGAGCCCCAGCTGAACGCATCAGGCTGCATCCGCTGAAGGCTTTATGACTCAGAAGAGCCGTGAGTTCGTACATAACAGAACTAATCGGTTTTAAAAGCCTGCAGCTGGAGGGCTTCGATAGTACGTATGACGTCCTTTGATCTTCTGGCACATTTTCAAGAGCTTGGGAGTCAGCATGTAGCATGGGAAGCACCCCAGGCAGGAGTGAGGTGGCTGATGGGCCCGGCAGAGGCATGGAATCCAGACTGCCCTGCAGCCTGCCGTTTCCACTGAGTTCCGGGGATGATGGGCACAGCCGTCGTGTGGGCCGGGCCAGGATTCTCTCCATACTAGAATGTGCCTCAGTCTCGTCGCTCCAATTAATAACAGGGACCGGGAGTTCTCAGCACCTAGATTGATTCTGGCCAGTTTGCACTGCCTGTCTGTGCATTTCCAAGCCTACTGCAGGCTGTCTGCTGTAGCCTGTAAAGTCCGGAGCACACTGCTGGATGGCGCCCCTCTCCTGGTACACCTTCCCAAACCCGAAAGGGACTCTGGTGAGAGGTTCAGGGGAAGGCAACGGGGAAGAGGGCCTCTTCACCTTGGACCCCTGCTCATTGGAAGGCTGTCCTGGGCAAGGGAGTCCTGGTGCCAGCATCATCGCCATCTGCGCGCCAGGTTCGGGCCTCTCTTGGTCCCTGTGCATTTGATGGCACAGGACGGGCTGTTCAATGCATCGGTCAAGTTCTTCATAGTTGTCAGTGAAGTTTCAGTTCTGTATTTTAGTGGTTAAGTGGGCTGTTTTTGGTCAAGTCGGTTTTGAGAACAGCATCTGAGAAATCCAGTGAATACTATTAGTAGTAATGTTTGGTGTTGTTATTACATGTTGTTTGTTTGTTATTGCCGCTGCTGCTGCAGTTGTTAAGAAAAACAAAAACAATAATAAGAGTAATCCTTTGGCACATTCGTTTCTGGAAGCATCTTAGGGCATCATGCCAAAAGCTTTAGTCTAACGAACCTTGAAATGGAAGAATTTCTATCATAAAGTCTGGATATGAATTATGAGGAAGGCCTTCTTCCTTTATTTCACTTAGCTGAAATTGATTTTCTTATTAAGGCCGCCCACTCTTGCACTAAATTAATCCTCTAAGTACAATGAGCAAAATCTCTCCATAAGCTTTACCTTTGTTTGGTCAGGCGGGGGTTAGAAGTGCCACGATGCATCAGTTTCCTGGGTTTTAACTGAGAATGCCATGTGATGTTGGAACTGTGTTCTTTTATTCCTTCCTTGCAAAATGAGCAGATCTGCCGCTGGATTTACTCCTCTTTCTGTAGGACCCAATACTTCTCTCCAGTCCAGATCAAGGGCTGCCTCCTACCCACCCCTGCCCTAAAGCCTCGTCAGCATCATTTTTCCTACACCTCCTACTCTTCTTTGCTAGTGTGGAATAATAATGAAAAACCACACGGCCCTGGCTGCAGTTTTGAATAAAACCAACAGCTGGCAAAAGGCGAACATGAGGAAGGGGCCCCGCAGATTTAAAATCTACCTGTGTAACTTGGAGTAGAGGATGGTTATTTTAAAATCAGAAAGCTGTGAAGTCTCGGGATATTTTGCTGCAGTTGCATCTCACAAACAACTCCAGCTCCGCTTAGAACATCCTATGTCCAATCATATATTACAGATACATACACTATTTGTAGAAAAATAATGCTGCCCAGAAGCAATCCCTATAATTAAGAAGATAAGCATATGTGCGTTGCATGATCTGATCCCTGGATGCCTCTGAATGTTTTCAAGCGCTTGGAAAATGTTCACTAGAGGAGGGGAAGGCTTCTGAAGGCTCCTCTATATACTCTTCCCCTTGAGTTTGGCACAGATTTGCCTTTGAGGATGCGAATTATGGTTTTCCGGCCATCACATGACTTTCCTTTACAGAAAGCTTCTGCAGCAATTCCTTTATAGAAATACTTGTGTTGGAAACCGAAAGGCATTTTTTAAAAAATTGCCAAGATTTGTGAGCATTTGCCTCCTCAGCTCTTTTTTGGGGGGAAAGGTTGGATTTTTCTCTTCGGAGGAAAATATTGCAAATGATGCGCTAAACGCAACTTGGTTTTGTTTGCGGTCCTTTAGCCATGCTGCTTTTTTAAAGAGCTGATCAACACATGCAGAATAGAGCAACCACATTGCGGCCCATACCTTCCAGAGTTCTGCAGGTGGGATGGCTCATATTTTGAATGTTACCCCGTATAAGCATGTCATGAAGAAGCATATTAAAAGGCTACATTAACCATTGCATTATTTTATTTTATTATTTATTTATTAAAACCTTTTTATGCCTGTTTTATTACCCTGTGCTGAGGAGAAAAACCTTACCAAGAGTGTGCTTGTGGGTAGCACTCTGAGTCATCTGCATTGCCTTCAGTAGAACCAGTTAATTTTTTCTCTAAGCTACTTGATAAACTCTCTCTCTCTCCCTCCCTCTCCTGATAGGTCCTGATAGAAAAGGAATGGATTGCAATGGGACACAAATTCTCACACAGGTAAAATCAGGTTTGTTTTTTATTTTCAGGAGGACTGGGAAAGAGGGATCTTTTAGCAAAGCTGCTTTCCTTTGTGCTTTCTGTGTTGAAGCTGTACAGAATATCAGGCCAGGAGGCCAAATCCAGTCCTTCAGGTGCTCCCTAGAGGGCCCCATGGCTTTGCCCTGATCACCAATTGTTTGGTGCTTTTGTACCTTCCCAAGTTTGAAACGCTTAATCAGAGCAAAAATGTGTGTACGACAGCATATCGGGGCATGGTGATCTGAGGTTAGAATTTGTCCAGGACAGGACAGGACAGGAGGTAGGAGGCCAGGAAGTGAAATCAGAAAGTCTTAATTGCTTTGGTTAAGAAATTCCAGGGAGGGCGCTAAGATCAAGTGCCTCCCCTGCCACTTTAGCACTGGGCCTTTTCTGTTCTCATTCACTTCAACGTGGGGGTGAATACGTATATTTATTGATATATATATCCTAACTAAGCCAAAGCATATCTCACTGGAATAATCAAACAATCTTCTACTTATGCACATGCCTTCCTCTGTCGTTCCTTTGTGAGTGTTTTGATTGTAAGCCTTGTGGGGCAGGGCCCCATCTTGCCTTTTTGTGTAAAGTGTACATGGGTGGCACTGCATAAATAGGTAGGTAGGTAGGTAAATAAGCAATCTGATTAAACCCCAACTGCAAAGCTACATAGGATTAGTTTCCATTTATTAGTTTTCTTCTCCCCAACTGTCAACTTTACTGTGCTAAACAGAAGTTTATTTCGTAAGAATCAGCAAGGAAAGGGATCTAGTCATAGTTCAGTTGCTTCTGAAGATGCTGGGAGAGGAAGGGAGGGAGTACCCAGTGGTGGTGCTGCAGTCAGGATGGTGCCATATAAATATTTATTTTATATGTTGCCTTTCCATGAGGGAACGTGCCTGGCAGGCTCTGGGTATGGCAGGACCTGCTTGGCTTCACCATCCTGCTGCTTTCCAGAACAATATCCTTTCTGAAGGGATTATTCCTGCTACTTTCCCCGTGTGGGATGTGGGCGGATTTTTTCGGGACAGGTGAGACTCCATCCCAGGCTAAACATGAAGGGTTTTCCTTTGAAGTTGCTACCTTATGCATTGCTGCATTGACTCGCTTTCTGCCTTTCCAGGTGTGGCCATCTAGAGGGTGACCCCAAGGAAGTGTCACCTGTCTTCACCCAATTTATTGAATGCACCTGGCAGCTGATGCAGCAGTTTCCCTGCGCGTTTGATTTCAATGAGCGCTTTCTTTTTGAAATTCACGATCACATCTACTCCTGCCAGTTTGGCAATTTCCTGGGGACCTGCCACAAGGAGCGGGAAGATTTGAAGTGAGTTGGCATTTCTCTGCAGGCTGAATGCAAGGGGTTTTCTTTGTTTCTTGGCAATACAGGTGGGGGGAGCGATTCTCTAAACCAGGGGTGAGTGTCCTGCAGTCCTCAGGCCACACACGGCCCTTGTCCCGATTGTGTGCACTCCTCATCCTCTGTCCTAATTCTTCTGAATTCAGTCCTCTGGGACCTCTAGCAAAGAGAGACAAAAAGAGAGAGTAGAAAGAGAACAAAAAAGGGAGGGAGGGAAGGAAGGACGGAATAAAGAGAAAAGAGGTTCATATCTGTATATTAGCCACGAGGTACACGGAGGTTGCAGCTTCAGACGCAGTGTGCCTCTGCATGGTATTTGCTGGCTCCGTGCCCCCCTTGAGAACTTCCCTGTAGCATCTGCTTGACAGCTGCGGGAAGCAAGATACGGGCTGGACAGACCTTCGACCTCGTCCGGGTCTTACATCATTCATCATGTCACTGCCACACCAGCTCCTGGTCCTGTGTTTGGAGCTCCACATCGACACTGCAGGGTTTGTAAGAGATCAGCATGGACTGGAAGGCAGTGACGTCCTCCTGTGGCTTATCTCGCCTTCTGTGCACCGGAGGTAAATTCCATTCCTGTGGATACACACAGCAAGTTGGATCCAACTGGGGTGTGATCGGAAGCTTTTGGTGGCAGTGCCATGCCTTTGTCACTTCGGGGTTCATCCCTTGACTGCTTAGATTATAGCTATACTCTTCTTCTCTAAGGCATATTCTAGAAAATACAAAGTCCCTTCATTTATATCTCTATAGTTAAAAGCTCTCCTGTAGCTCCGTTTGGTGAGTGCTGGAATCTCTTGTTTTTAACTGTAGAATCTTTGAGAAGACACATTCCCTTTGGCCTTTCCTTCTCCAGAAGAAGCAAGAGTTCAGAAATCCACTCTATAAAGGATTCACAGCTTACAAGGAACTTCAGCCCAACACTCTGCCATTCAGTTTTCAGTAAGTTGCATGCTGAAGAAGATAAACTGGGAAAATGGCAATTCTCATTACTGGCTTATACATGAATGATCTTATAATATCACACTTGCAGAAAAGGAGGCACTGTAAGGAAAAGCATATCCACCTCTTGTTTCATTTGACCTAAAAAGGGGGGGGAAATGTGTGTTTGAATTTTGTGATACTTTTGACACCAAAGCAGCCCGTATTCTATCAAAAAAGTTTTATATTTAAAACCCAAATTTAAATACAGCTGTGAGTATTGTGTTAAATTAACATTCTGCAGAAAGAGATCTATTTTGCACCTGATCAGTGCAGGTTTGCCTATTTAATAATATCAGGCTCCTTGGTGCATCTCTAATTCTGGATTTTCCAGCAATGGGACAACAGTGGTACAAACCACTGGAAACCTTACTTAGCCACCTCTCTGTGCAGGTCCGCACAGCCCAAAAAAGGATATCCTTCCTACCTTGCTTGTTTCACTTCTGTTTGGGAAGCATAGACCAGTGTATTGTAGTTAAAATCATAAGACTATCTTTTCTCTCTCTCTTTTCCTTTTAAAGGGGGACAGAGAGAGAGAAAAGATAGTTGCGTTCACCCTCCCATTTTTATGAATCTTAATGAATTAGAGGTCTCTAAATTATACTTTCTTCTTGAGGTTCTGGTGTGGCATGTATAACCGGTTTGATAAAGGGATGCACCCGAAGCAGTGTGTGTTGGACCATCTCCTCAGCTGCGTCAGCCAGAAATTGGAGTTGGAAGATGTTGCCACTGAACTGGAAAATGTGAGTATTGCACAGCAGTGAGACGATCCTTCCTCCTTGCCTTTAATTGCATAACTGGGGTAAGAATGGCCGAGTTGCTTTCCACTGGGAGGCAGGCGTGGAATTACCCAAGGTTGGGACTAGGGATGCCAGACACTTCTGTTAGTTGTTCCATGTTTTGTACCCCCACTGCCTACATTGGCATCCCGATTTCCAGAGCTGACAGTCCAGCTTTTCCTGCTGGTGAAATGGTGATGTCAGTGTTGTGCTCAGAAACCAGGATTGGCTCCCTCGCTTGGTTTGGACACTAGAGCCCCGCTTGGGAGGCGTGCGAATGCTGTTCTGGTTAGGCAGTCCAGCAGCAGTAGCGCGCCTATGAAACAGACACAGGTGCTGGGAGCAAACCAACCTCCCCTCTTCCAGCTCCAGCAGCAACTAGTCAGGTAGCCAAAATTTGCCTGCTTGTACAAAGGAGTGGGAAATGGGCATAGAGATTGCAATTAGTTTTTGTGACCAACTGATCGTCCCTGACTGAGTGATTGCCCCAAACATTTGAGATTTTATTTATACCTGACCTTTCTTCCTGGGAGCGCAAGATGGCCTCTTTCATCTCCCTCTTCCATGTTAGTCCCTCATAACTAACCTGCAAGGTAGGTGATTTTGATGGCCTTCATAATGCTACAGATTTTCCTGAGCTAGCATAACCCTAAAATTGCAAGGAATGTGTCAGAAGCCTTTGATTTTTTTCGTCATCTTGGGAAGCAGTGACAAGAGTTGGACACACCCGCTTACATGTAGCCACAGCCTCGATGTGTATCGAAAGACACACTGCTTTCCTCCCAGCCTCCCCAGCCGCTTCTCAAGATTAGCCAAGTGGCCCCAGGCTTTTCAGAATTGGACGCTCATAAAGCCAGCAGTGCTCAGCTCAACACCTGTGCATTCCGCTTCGCTTCTAACGGTTCATCCCTCTCTCCCAACACAGAAGTTGCCTCTCATGGACGGGCACCTGCCAGATGAGATTCCCATCTTAACCAAAATGGTGACCAGTTCCACCAGCTGCTCCAAATCGCCAATGCTCAACACTCCCCAGGACTATGAGGGCGAAGAAGCCCCTCCTCTCCTAGCCAACGGCACGATAGCAGGGAAAGATGGTGACGGGCCTGATCTGCAGCTGAAGAGGAAAGAGAGTCTCGGCAATCCCCTTGCCGTGCCGGAGGGTGACGGTGCCACTCCCACCAGCGGGACCCTCCAGTCCACCGCCCGGGCAGGAGATCTCCAGGACCATTGAACTGATCTGCGCCTCTGCCGTGGGAACCCCGGGGAAGCGGCAATAAAGCGCGTGAGACCTGCGGCCAGGTGCGGGGAGAGTCACTCCACCCGTGTGCGGCTGTTGTGTTCTTTTGTGTGCAGAAGTGTTCAGTTCTGTACTTTGAAGGCGGGAAGAAGAGACAACTTTTGAAACGCCCAGGAGCGATTCAGAGGGAGGGCACAGGGCTCTGGTTTGGGGCCCGGCAGGTTGGGACTGGGCATCCCTGCCAGAACAGTCAGAGACTCTTCTTTTCTGGTGACGATGCAGCCGAGTCCGTCCCCTACTCCATAAATCCTTTCCGTTACCGGCTTTTGAGGCAGGGGAGGGCATTTTAGGATGGGGGGAATGAAAATCTCAGTATACACAAAATCTAATCCGTAGGGACAGCTACAAATGTCAGTCCCTTAAAAAGAAAGGACTTTTCTTGGCTGGCTTGTGATACCTTGCATGGGAATTCCATTTTGTGGCAATACTGGGTTACATTTTGTTGGCCCTGCACATATTTTTGTAGTAGCTGGTGCCTTTTAACTTTGTTTTCAAGTGGGAGATCTCGTGATGTCCAACCCTTGGCAGTGTGGTACTTTATTACTGTGACATGTGGCTGTTACATGTGAGTGCCTAGTGAATGTTTTTGGATCCGTACTTTAAAAAAAAGATGCTTAGGACTTGTCTTTGTTGTCTTGCTAATAGTTATCTCTTTATCCACATTAACGGTTCTGAATGATTCCGCAGCGCCGAGACGACGCAGCAGTGCAGCTCGGTCGTAGCTCTTACAGCCTATGCAGGCAGTCGCGACTGCTCGGGAATGTCTGATTTGGCTTTCCTTCACTTCCCAGGGCCTGAGGAGGCCACGGAGCTTCTCTTTTTGCGTAGCTGGGCCACATTCCACTCTACCCTTTCCTCTCACAGAGACAAGATCAGGTGCAGCTCGGAGACCCAGCCACGGAAACCCAGGGTTTCCCATCGCACATCCTGGGAAGAGCCTTCTGCCAGTAACACAGCCCCTCTCAGAATGAACTTTGGGGAAATCCAAAGCTCATGTCTGCAGCACTCCCAGTTTCAGATGTATCAGGAGTAATGAATAGTATTTATGCTTCTTGGCACCTAATAAATTGCATGCCCTTTATCTGACTGCATTGACACCCTTTCGGAGAAACCCTTCCCTCCCCTTTAGAATTGTGTGAAATGAGAGGCAGTGTTTCATAGTGGTTAGAGTGCCGGACTGGGACACTGGGGATCCTGGTTCTAGTCCCTGCTCAACTATGAAGCTCACTGGGTGACTTTGGGCCAGCGGCTCTCAGCCTAATCCATCTCACAGGGTTCTTGTGAGCACTAAATGGACAGGAAAACCTTGCCAGCTGCCTTGGATTCCTCGCGAGAGGAAGGAGGGCAGGGTGTAAATACAATGCAATATGAATATTGTGGCGGTGGGCTTCAAAGTCATCAAGTGAAAATGGTCGTGGGTGAAACTTTCACTCCGGAGCATTCCTTATTGGAGCGAGTAGCACAGGTCTGGGCCAAGTCATTAGAGCTCGCACATGAGTGGGGATGCCTAAATGTGGTGGCCCAAAGGACGAAAAGGAAGCAAAAACAAGGAGTCCTTGCCCCTAAATCAGCCACAACCCGCATTGCTTTGTGCATGTCCGGTGTACGCTGCTCTTCCCTTCTTGGGTCCTTGCAGAGCAAATCAGAATGGTGGCCCTTGGATTTGTCTGAGCTTAAATGAGGCAATGAGGTTATGGTGATGTGAGCGTCTCTTTCACAGTCCTCCAGTTGCCATTTTGAGCTGATTGTCAAGATTATATTCTGCATAAACGGTACATCTGAAATACCATTCTGCATCGCGTCAGGGATCTGTCCTACTCCTTGCTGAATGAAAACTTTGGGACCACCCTGGCATTTTCTCAGCATGCAGAATCCACAGACTGGCACACACTGAACCAAGTCGGTCATCTCCGGTCTTCTAATACACATTCCTCTAAGAATTGCTCTTCCTGCTTTTCCCACCCACCCCCCTTAATGATTCATTAGCAGTTTGCTCTTAGATAAGACACAGACCTTCCCATATCACCGCATATCTTGCTTCTCGGTCTGCTGATTTAAAATTAATATCAAAATCATAGTTCTCAAAACGTGAAAAAGGGAAGAAAACTCAGGGTTTAAAATACTGTTAGGATAAGCACTTGTGCATGAATAGCACACACAGAATTACTAGCGAGTAAAGATATGACCAAATGTCTTGACATAAATCTATTTGTACTGAAGAGTCACACATACAGTTCTTTCCCTGTAAAGCTCTTAACTTTTTATTGTTACACCATTAAGAAGAAATACAAGCCTTTCTACAAATAACAGATTATGCATTTATATCTGGGAGAAGTAAAATATTCTAATCAGATGTAAATAGCAGGTAAAAAAATTAAGCAGTTATAACAACCCCCAACATAGGTACCAAAATCTTCCAACAGCAGAATATGGCATGCACCACTCTTTTCCACTGAATTCTCAACACTTGAGTTTGAAATGCTCCGTTGGCCCTTCTGGCTTTCTTATCAGCCCCAGCAGACTTCCACAGGTGCCCACCCGCCGTGCCCTGGTCCCACTCCTTTCTGTTTGCTCAGGAGTTTCCTGGCTTTCTCACCAGCCCATTCTGCGAGGTCGAAATACCCTCCCGGGGCTCACTTCCTGCCAGTACAAGCTTTATGCTCAAAGATGCTGCATGTTTTTTGCAGTTTGGCCTTGAGATCCACCAGAATGTAACCCCTGAACACTTCCCTGAGACAGACTTTGGCCCCCAGGCTGAAAAAGGTGCTACAGCCCCTGCTTAACACTTTCAAGGGGGATTCTTTGTCCTACTGCAAGGATGGGGTTTACTACCTGCCATTTCCTGGGCATGATTAATAGACATCTAGCTTAAAACTGGTTTGTTAATAAACATTTAATTTCTTGCTTATGTCCTGATTTTTTTGCTTAAGGCAGTCATTTAACTAGAACAGATAAAATTATGTACCCTTCCAAAGTCTGTCTTCCATTGCCACTGCTGAGGCTTTGAAACAAATGTTGTGTCTCAAGATTGCAACCGTGTGTGTGCTACCTTGGAAATGTGCTCCGTTTAGTTTGCTGGGACATATTCCTGAAGAACCATGCAGAGCAGGTGTGGGCAAAATGCAAGCTGCATGTTGCACCCCTTGCTGGACCCCAGGCATGTTTTTAAAACCCTACGGAGAGGTCAAAACAGAAAGGTTTTTGCTTGTTGTCTGGAGCTGCCCGTGTCTGAAACAGAAGCAGTCAGTCTGCCAATCCCATTTTCCAAAGCTGCCTCATTTCCTGACCAAAACATAATCAGTCGACCTGCTTTCACTTTGCCCAGTTCTTTTTCACGGGACTGTCATCCAAGATGCACGTATTTCTGGAGCATTCTTTGCCTGTAGGCAACTGTGCTTGTTCTGAAGGCGTAGCCTCTGTTCATTCAGAGCTCTATACCAGCTTGAAACGCTCAGATAACAAATATGCAAGCTGGCCTGTCCAGGCCAGCCTTAAGATGGGTGAAGCCCAAAGAAAAGCAGCGTTCCTTTATTTCGGTCTCTTATGTACCTCTGCCTTTCTTTGTAAGATCTTCATGGCGATGCTCTACATCTCTTTGAATGTACCTGTCCACGTACACGATGCACGTGATGCATTGACTAGCGAGGCAGATTATCTCTTGGGACTGAGTCATGCAGTTCTGTGCCGTGGCAGTCAGGTCTTTGGTGGGTTATCTGATCCAGAGCAGCATTCCTTGTGTCAAGAACAAAAAGCAAAAAGCCTCCGTCAGATATAATTGGCTTCCTGCTGTGGCACCAAGCAGTGCTTAGTTTTGTTCAAGCTCTTAACCTGCTGCTAAAAATAGTTCAAGACGAAATTCCTCATGGATCGTGTTTGCCCTGAGCTGGCGATGCACGCACTTCGTGGGACTCCTTTCCGCAGCGGGTGGGGCGGCGGCCTCTCGCCCACCAGGTGTCTTTTCAGGCTGTGACTCCTCGCACAAACACACACCCTTCCACCCTCCAGATGTTTTGAGTAGGACTCCCAGCATCCCTGAACCTTGAGCTGATGGGAGTTGGAAGTCCAGAGGGTTAGGGACAGAGCTCACTCTTCTCTCAAAATAATAGACGTCTCTCCTATCCTGCCACCATCCGGCTGCATCGTGAGCGCCAGGCAGGTGGAAGATCCGCCCGCAGACCTGCTGCTGCTGCTTCACACAGCCACAGCAAAGCAAGTGTCGATTGACCGGTTACTTGTGACCTGCAGCTGGATTTGGGTGATCAGGTACAGGGGAGCTGGTGGCCCTCTTGTTGGCGGGACAGCTGTGTCTGGGAAGAAGGTTGGCCACTCGGCAACATTAAGGGTGGCTTCGTTAGCGCAGATCCCACCCCTCGCATGTGGAACTGCTGCATGGTGCCGTTTGCCTCCGTGCGGTCAAGTCAGAGTATGCCTAACATAGACAAAGGAAGGCAGACCAGAATGTGCCTGGCAAGAAGGGCTCAAGGCCACGCTCCATCTCTCGCTGATGATTTCCTTTGGCAGGGACATGCAAAAAGGAGACGTGCATTTCCTTTTGGCTCGCACGGTCGTGTCACCACTGAGTTTTGTGGTACATGTTGCAGAAGTCAGTTTCCATGCATCTGTGGCAAACGAGGGATCCTCAAGCAAATTTACCCCCTCCTGTTCCATTCCAGCTTCGGTTTCCCAGCAAAGGTCCCGTCCCATGCAAAGTGGCCTCCGTCACATCCGCCTCCCTCTTTCTAAGAGGCCGCGTGCCTTACATGCATTCAGAGCAATGGCCTTCAGGCGCAGTCTACCTGGTCACAAACCCTCTGCGTGTTGCAGAGGATCCTGGGACTGTCATGGCAAGTGTTGGGCCAACCTCATGGTGTCACTCTCGCTTCGTGGATGAAGAGTGACTTAGCGTACCTGTTCTTCTGTGGCTGCACATCGCGGGGGCGGATCAGTAGCTTTGGGTGCGATCTCTCTGCCATCCCGGATCTTCCTGTGCAGCCGGGACTCCCCCGTGGATCAGTGCGCATCTCTTGAGCTGCCCTGGGGCGGTGGGCGCATGGCAGCAAATACCTGTAGCATTGTTGCTAACCGAGCCGATACTGTAGGTTTCCCAGAAAACAGCATCCCACAGTGTCTTTGAACTGCCAGAGCAGCACAGAATTGGAGAGGAACCCGAGCAGAGCCGCGGCCTGCTAGTTTTAGCCCATCTCTTCGTTTGCATATATGCTTAGGTGTGTCTGTTGGTGGGACAAAATCCGTATTCGGTTGTGTGGTGACGTTTTGTAGCTCTGAGCTTGACAATATATTGATGTGAGTGTGCAGAGATCGCTTCTGAAACCACTCCTTTTCCAGAAACTCAGATTGTGCCACATATTCAAGCTGAAATGCAAATGTAATTTCTGTAAGTTTGCGGCTGTGTTTTGTCTTGAAATATAGCTGCCTAAAACTGTTTGAGTAATTGCTCTCTAGATGTCATCCCAAGTACATGTTTTGAGTCGAGTTTCATTTGGTGCACTGCTAAAAAGAACCTACCACTCGGCACTGCCTCTTACAGAGGAGTGCGCATTCCGAGATAAACGGTTGTAAGTCTCATGGAGAGTTTAATTTGTAAGTTATGTTCTGTTTTGTTTTTTTCATACGAGAAAGAATAAATTTCTTGCATTTTTAAGACACGGCTTTTGTGTGTTGACTGCTTGGATCATCCTGGACCACTCTTTCTCCCTTGACCTGTTGGTGTAAGACCACTCCCGATTCCTAGGCTTTTAATTATGCCTGTCGCCTTTTTTGGGAGGTGATCTCTTATTAAAATGGCTGTTAACTATTTTGCTTGTTTTAAGCTTTCTATATTGGAATTTTGCATGGAGTTTTCCTGCCTGTATTTCAGGGTTTGTAATGTTTATGAACGGTTGTGAACTGCCCCGAAAGCTTCCGCTATGGGGTGGATAAGAATTGAAATGACATCATCTGTACACAGATGCCATGCACACATTTTTTTCCTGAAGTAGAAATAAGTGGTAGAGAAAAAGTCATTTGGCAAGCTGGCATTGCTGTGTCTAAAGGTACAGGAGCAAGGACAGTGAGAAAAGGTGGCAACTTACGCGTGAGTGGACTTGTGAAGTCTGGAATAAGGGGTGCGTGTCATTCCAGAGCTTCTGGTTCCACTGCACCCTCCCACTTTATGTTCTTGATTCATGCCCAGGCTTTTACCTCCCAGGATACGGAACAATGCGCTTAAACTACAGTACCCCAGGTGAGAAGGCTGAGCACCGAAGAATTGAGGCCATTGCATTGTGGTGCTGGAGGAGACTCCCGAGCGTCCCTTGAACTGCAAAGACAGCAAACCAGTCGATCTGGAAGGAAATCAACCCTGACTGCTCTTTATAAGGCCAGATCCTGAAGATGAAACTCAAATACGTTGGCCACCTAATGAGAAGGAAGGACTCCCTGGAGAAGACCCAGATGCTGGGGAACGATGGAAGGCAGAAGGAGAAGGGGACGGTGGAGGATAAGGTGGCTGGATGGTGTCACTGGGGCAGTGGGTGTGAGCTTGGGTGGACTCCGAGGGATGGTGGAGGACAGGAGAGCCTGGAGGAATGTTGCCCATGCGGTCGTGATAGGTCAGGCACGGCTTTGTAACTAAACAAACAACCCCAGGTGAAGGCTAGAAACAAGAATTTCATGACTGTGAGAGCAGTATTGCAATGAAACAAGCTGCCAAGAGAGGCTGTGCGCTCTTCCACACCAGAGTCTTTCAAGAAGCAATTGGACGGTTGTCTGAATGGGATGGTGTAACTGACATCCTGCAGTAGCAAGGGGCTGGACTTGAGGGCCTCCTTGGCTCCTTCTGACCCAACGATTCCGTGATCTGCCCAAAACGTTCTTCCACCTGCAGATGTCTTGCAGCACAGACTTTACAGCTCACACGTTATGATTCGTGGCTTGGAGCTTTGTAGCACATTTGTTCCATGGACTTGAATCAACGAGAAGGCAGATGGTAGCCCCCTGAATCATGCCTGGGCATCTTTGCTTTTCTTGCAAGAGCTGGCTCTCAGCCCCCCATTTGGCAAAGGAAGCAGTGGCTTGGCATTCCAGGGACTCGCAGGGTAAGGGGGAAAGTGGGAGGAGGAGGAGGAGGAGGAGAAGCAAAGCAGGCAAGAGTGAGAGTAAAGAGTGTGGAATTCAGGGTACTCGACCTGCTTGGTTGGTTTAACAGGTGGGCCCAGCCTAAATAGTTATTCTTATCTTTAGGTCTCAGTTTACTTGTGTTAGGCTAAACAGAAAACAATACAAACATTCAGAAAGCACTTGTAGGTTACATTTTAGTGAAGATAAACACACACCAAGAAATATACACTGAACAAGGCTCCAAAACACCTCAAACTCGCCCCTTAATGTTTGTTTATTGCACTTCTTGGTCTTGCGGTTTTACATCAAGTGATAGCTTAGACAAACCCCTAAGGGTTTGGTTAAATTCCTGAATAGGCAGCCCCTTTGATGAATTGTGTGTGCTGTAAACCAATTCAGCATCTCCAGTTAGGGTTGGAAAACCACCGGCCTGGATCCCCAGATGGCCATTGCCATCAGTGGCAAGGATACTCAGCAAAAGCAGTTCTGATGTTCCTGTTGTGTCCCCCCCCCCCCGCCCCCCGACAGCCATCCAGATGAGATGTGGCACGGACCGTTTCTGTCCCCAAGGTCCCCTTTGCCAGCCATCTGGGGCTACAATCTTGTGTCCAGATGAAACACCTATTAAAATCAGCATGGTTTCTCTCTGAAAAAAGATGCTTAGGATACAGTTATTATCATTTATTCCTCTCCAATCCTTCTAATCCCTTCCAGGTTTTCCTTCTCTCGTTTTCTGCCGTGGGCTTCTTGCAGCTTTACTGGGGCTGCTGCTTCTGTTGTCTTTGCAGGAATTAAAATACTCTACACATTTTTCCCCTGGGGTTTTGTGTTGGTTTGCCATTCAATAGATGCTGTTAACCAGCCACAACATGATGCTCCAATATAGCTGCACTATGTAACTTTTCCAGAAGCTTTTATTGCTTCTCTAAAAGACCCTCCAATGGCTAGAATTCATGGGGGCGGTCCTGGAGGACCTCAGCATTATGAAAAGGTCCCATCAACATCCATGAATGAGGGATCACCTGCATGCAATAAAGGCCTCATGTAGAGAAGCCCCGAACACGGTCCCCGAGTCAAGTTCAGCAGCCTCTGGGGGCTTGGAGAGCCACGAGGACTCCAAACAGATCTCCATGGTAGGCCCATGTCACAATAAGGCACACTTCCATCCCCTTGTGAGGTCACCAAGCTTCGGATTCAACTGCTCTTCTAGAAGTTCCTTTAAAATCTTCCATTTCCTAAAGTTTAGAGTGTGTGTTACAATCTACATCCTACAGACTTAAGGAAAATAAACAGTGATTTAGATTAAAAAAGATATTTCCTCCTATTTCAGAAAAAAAAACCCCTAGCATGTCATGAGTTTGAGCTGGCTGTTGTTCTTCGAGATTTCTTTTCTACATAAATCGTCCTTTGCCCGCCTCCCAAGTGAGCTTCCTAAAATGCTTAACATTGTGTGCCCATGCGGGTCCCTAAATGTATGCATTTTACTTCTATAGGATTGCATTTTTAGTATATATAAACCTTTTGGTACAGCAGCCTATAAATAACTACATAAATACATACAGTTCAAATAACTAAGTCCATATGCCACCTGGCACCCTTCAGATGGATAACTTCAACTCCTATCAGCCCCAGCCTGTAGGACCAATTGTCAGCAATGTTTGGCATCACAGTCTAAAAGATCAGGAGGGCCCCAAGTTAGAGAAGCTGCCTGAGGATCTCCTGTGTGTTTCTTTCTCCCATCTTAGGACATCTTTGTGTGTGGCTAATTTAGTCCACTCATTACCACGCCAAAGCTCTGATAAACCCCTTCAGCCTGTCAGATAAATTCCTCTGCCACTTTTTTTAAAAGGCTCCAGATTCATCTAATCCGGATGCAGGAATGCCTGCCTTCCCCAGGGAACAGGACTGGTTCGCGCTTGCTAAGTGAAAGTTGCTGAGCCAGGCCTGCTGTCCCAGAATAGCTAGGAACACTGCCGGGACACCTCCCCCCCCACCCCCAATGCTAGCACATTCTCTGAACAAGGAGCCCTGCTTCAGCCCAGGGGAGTGGAAGGACAAGTCCCACTGACTCCAGGTGGAAAGGTACGCCTGCCGCGCACGCTACAAGTCTCTCTCTCCTTATGTGCGACACACGATGCGCCTGTGAAAGCTGATAAAGCCGCGCAGGAAGCAGACGAGGCTCATTCTGGAAGCACAGGTGCATCCTCACCGGGGAGGCTTGCTACCTTTGGAAGTGGAGTTCTGGCAGAGTGTTGGAGAAGGTGCGGGAAGGGGCGGGAAATGTCACCAGGCCGAGAATATCCTCTGTATGTCGTTGCTGTCAAAACTCTGTCTGCCCTGCTAATGCTTGGAGCCATAGTCCATCAACGCCTGAAGGGCTGCCACTTTCCACCCGGGGAGAACATCCCGCAGGGGGTTCGTTCAGGAGAAATGATGGAGACAAGGCAGAGGGTCCCAGTGTTAGCACTGTGCAATGAAAGCTGCGAATGCTTTCTGTTCTGCCAGGAAGGCTCTCCTCAAGCACCACTGTGTGAAACTGGCCGGCAGAAGGTTCAGGAGCAAAAGAGCGAGCCGCTTTTCACACAACGGATACTTAAGACCAGAGGATGCTGAGGTGGCCCATCAGGTAACTCCAGCCATATTTCCATGACTGACAGCCTCGATAAATAACTGCATCGCGCTTGTGCGGAGACTGCATCCTTGCTTCGGGATAGTCCTGAGACAAGCGATAGAGGGACTGGTCCCCCAGCTCCCGCTACAGGGTTTCCTAGAAGAGTTATGAGGCTGGTGCTGGAGAGGGCTTTCTTGGTGGTGGTTTTGCTCCTGGCTGAGGGGTTTTGTTTCTTTGCCGCTCCTGTTTGGCCTGTGACTCCAGCCCAGCACTAGCAGGCAGCTGCTGACCCCCAGCTCCTTGCCCAAAGAGAATTCAGCCCTCCTGCTTTTATTCATTTTAAAATATATATATATATACTGAGAATCTGTTTTACTAGATTTGCCTTAAGTGTGCATTTACTGATTTGGTGATCTCCATTTGCTTTTAATCTTGTGTGCTGCCCTGAAAGGCAGCCGTAAGAAGCAGGAAGTTGAATTTGCTGAAGCCCCGATCCACCGCAGCGTCCCCTACTCCAAAAATGGGGGGACACGCCTCTCCATTTGGACTTCTTGACCCAGGCTCCACATGCTGATGAGCGGGGATCCCATCCTCCGGCATCCAAGCACACAAGTGAGCACAGCTGCCTCTTTAACCCCCCAGGAAGTCAAACGGACGCGCAAGCAGGAGCAGCTGGTGTCCCAAGACATTTTTTCCGAAAGACTAAGAATAAACCCCTCCAGCTCGGGAAGAACAGAGGACAGCGTGGCCCCGCGGCCTTGCTCCAGCCGATGGAAGGGGGAGACCCTCGCTGCTCCTGGGCTCATGCAGCTCCACCGTTGGCCACCTGGCCGGACCTGAGATATCCGTGGGGCAGCAGAAAGCGGGGAAAGGACCCGATGGAGAACCACCCGCCCGTGCGCCCGCAGCGTCCTCCGCCAGGCACGGAAATGGACGGCGCAAGGGGAGAGGCTCGACAGGAGCGCCTGGCGCCCCGGCGCTGGTCCCTGGCCGTGCCAACGGGTCCCGGGGCTGCGGCGGCGCCGCTGCAAGCGGCTCTCTCGCCGCGGCCCGAGCCTCGTCCGCCCGCCCGCCCTCCGCGCCCCGCCGACGGCCAGGCCTCCTCCGCGGGGGCCAGCCCAGAGCCCCTCCCGCGGCCGCCCGCCCGCCCGCCGAGAATGGAAGTCGCCCGATTAGGCGCCCGAGCGGGGCTAAAATTAGCGCCCGAGCCCTTATGAGAGCGGCGCGCTGGCGCAGCAGCTGCCCGCAGGCGCCCCCCCACCCGGCGCCTCTCCCTCCGGGTCGGACGGGACGCGCCCCTGCCCCGGCCGCCCCCGGCCACCTCACAGAGGCCGGCGGCGACGCAGCCGGGCGGGCCGCGGCTCGTCCCAGGCCGCTCCGTCGGGCCACGGCCAGGCCGCTCGCCACGCGCCCCGCCGGCCGCCAGCTCGTGAGTACCCCACCCCCCCGGCCCAGCCCCTGCGCCCCGGACGCGCGCGCTAGCGGGGGCACTGCCGCCCCGTCCGGCCCGGGGCCGCGTTCACACGTGCGCGCGTCGCGGGCGCGGTCCGCGGGCCACGCGCCGCCGGGACCCGACTGCGCGCCTGGCGCCCCCGGCGGAGGCGTCGGGACGGGCCGCCACGGCTTCGCGGAGAGAGCGGGACTGCTCGGCGGTCTGTCTCCCCGAGGCTCCTTCCTTGCGCCCGACGATCGAGCGATTCGCCCTCGCAGGGCGCTTGTTGGTTGGCGGAGGGAGCGGTTGGCGCGCCTGTTCCCACATTACGAAGGTCTACACTCAGTGAGGACAGACGGGGTTAGCATTGCGCCTCGGGTGGCGGAAAGCAGCTCTGGACTCCTCTTTAGGTGACTTGGAGCCAGCCGAGAAGGGGTTCCGACAGCCAGTTATGAACGCAACCTGCATACCGTCCTCCCACTTCCCAAATAACGGGGACATTTTGTATACGGGAACAGTAAATCCAGCTCAGTTTCCCTCCTCAGAACAAATGCTGGACTCAGGATTCTTCCCGACAAAGCTTTTTTGATCTGGCCTCATTCCCAGAATGGCACAGGGGACCTGGTAAATCTCTGCCTAGCTCCCGGCTTCTTCCATCTTCTTTTCTTCCTGGAGAAGATCTATTAAAAAGGTGCACAATATGTATTGATTTTATTTATCATTGCATTGATTTCCTGCTTTTTGCCCCACAAAGGAACCCAAGGCAGCTCATCCGATCCTCCTCTCCGTCGCATCCTCACAAAACCCGTTTTCACTCCTCAGGAAGGGTCTTTCAGATTGGAGGACTGCTTTTCAAAGGAAAAGCTGGAACACGAAGCAAGCTAACGGCCGAGACTCAGGAGCAGGTTCCCAGGTTCGATCCCCAGCATCTCCAGGTAGGGCTGGCACGTTCCCTGCCTCAAACGCTGGAGAGCTGTTGCTGCCAGTCCGTGTCAACAGCACTGGGCCACGTGGACAAGGGGCTGACCCACGATGAGGCGGCTTTCTATGTTCCCAAGACATCTGGCTGCCTCAGGTGAAGCCCAGCTCATGCCCTCCAAATCTTGGTGAAGCCAACACTTAGCAGAGCCATGCCGAACCGGGTGTCCACCAGATGTAAACCCCATATAATTCCCAGCCGGCAGGCTGGGGGTTCAGGTTCAGGGCAGCTGTGTTAGCAAGTCTTGCTGTGCCATTCAGCCTCCAGCTCCTGTCTTCATCCATCCCCCTCTTCCTCACTCGTCACACAGCCTCCTAGTGGATGTGCATGTGTGCCCCGTAACCGGTTTGCACGCTCAGAATGCAAAGAAGTGAACATTTTTTACTAGGTGCAAGTATCTCATTTCCCAGGAAAGGGACGGGCCCTGCTAACCAGGAGCTGGAAATCAATGCATCGTGGACATTTTAATTCCCATATTTCTGGGAATTGCTGGGTGCAGCACAAGTCCAGGTGAGGCTGTAGGTGGATCTCTCCAAACCTAGGCTGGGATCTCCCAGGCACAGAAGGCGCTGACCTCTCCTTTGGGGCCAGGAATGAAGGAGGGGGTGGGAATCTTTGGATGCCTCAGAGACAGGATGTAACTGAGATTCTTCCATCCCCCTTATAGCATTTCCTAGCTGGGCAGGCGGCATTCGGCATTCCTCTGCATAAAAAATGCCAGGAATTGACTTCCAAAGGGATTCCCTTTCTTTCAGTCCAGAGGGATTCTCTTTCTCCTACCTTCAGCTACATCCAGTGTAACTTTCCAGGCTGGTCCTGCCAATGGATTACTGAAATATGTGTGGTGTTTACATGGTCTGTGTAAAAGTAGGAGTTGCATAGCACTGTACCCTAAAAGAGGCAGCAGACGCTGCTTGCCCCTGGAAATTGATGATTCTTCTTCGATTCCACGTTGGGAATGACTCCACACTGCTAACACTTTCCTAGCTGGACTATGTCTCCGTACTTGAACTCTGAGTTCAACTATCCGGATGCTTAGAGTGCTGAACTGGGACTCAGGAGATCCAGGTTCTAGTCCGTATTCAGCCATGATTTTCACTCGGTGATTTTGAGCCAGTCCTGGGCTCCCAGCTTAACCTGCCTTGCAGGGTTGTTGTGAGGATCAAATGGAGAGGAGAAGGATCAGGTAAGCCACCTTGAGTTCCCTTGGGGGAAAAAGGCAGGGCATGAATGTATCGTTAAGAAAAGTAAAAATAATGGTAGCTCTCCAGGCTTTCTAGCATCTGGCCTCTAGTAAAAAGTTGTCTGGCCTCTTGTGGAGATTCTGGGAGTGCCCTTTTGAAATATTTTAGGGATGCAGGTTGCCCGAGATGCATTGTGTGCACAAGGACTATGAGACCAGTTAGTTAGGATGGCTATCTATGCAACACCAAAGCAGGCCCTGCCCTCAAGCTTGCAGAGCAACAGACATGGCACAAAAGGAAAAGCGATGGGAAGGGAGGAGGGAAAAGGTAGGCTTTTGCTCCCAAGGCTTGTGTCCTTTTGCTTTGCAGCTTTCCAGCCTCGCACAGTTCATAATGAAAGTCACCCTCAAGAGACAAATCAAGATGAGCCTGCTGGATATAAGCAAGATTTTCTCCATGCTGCAGCCCAGTGAAGATGAAGAAGGAGATGGAGAAAGAGAGGAGCTGAATCTCGCCGTGTCCCAGGACGACTACCAGCTGCTGGACGAAATGCTGCGCCAAGAGCGGTACGCGCGGTTCATCAACAGCAGGAGCGGCTGGGGCGTGCCAGGAACGCCACTCCGCCTGGCGGCTTCCAAGGGCCACGTGAGGTGTCTCAAAGTTCTCCTGGCCCACGGAGCCGAAGTGGACAGCCTGGACGTGAAGGCCCAGACGCCGCTCTTCATCGCCGTCAACAACGGCCACCTGACCTGCGTGGAAGCCCTCTTGCAAGCTGGGGCGAATCCCTCCGGAAGCGTGCACAACAATGGGACTCCTCTGCTCACCGCGGCCAGGGATGGGGACATCGACATTCTCCGGGTGCTCCTGGAGCACGGCGCCCAGGTCAACGTGAAGGCGAGACTCCCGGAGTGGGCAGCCAACTCGGTGGCCTGCTCCGGCCCGCTGTACCTCGCTGCGGTGTACGGCCACCTGGAGTGTTTCAAGACTCTCCTCCTGTACGGTGCTGATCCCAACTACAACTGCACCGAAGAGAAAATCGTGACCCGGATCAAATACCCCAAGACCCTCCTAGAAATCTGTTTGCAACACGGCTGTGGAGTGGAATTTGTCAAGCTTCTTATTGATTTTGGAGCCAACGTGTACTTACCGGGTATTGTGTTAGATAAGATCTCAGCAAACTCTGAGGTGCTAGAACTGTTGGCCAGAGAAAGAGGTAACTAAACACCCTATTTAACAGTGTTTTTACATGTATTGCTACCTCCACGGCTTATCCTTAGAAAGGACTAGAGGCATAACCCTATACATATTTTTCAAAAATGCGTCCCGTTGATTTCTATGGGACTTATGCCTGGGTAAGGGGGTCTAGGATTGCAGTCTTATTTGTTAAAGGGAACACAGTCTAATAAATTAAATATATGCAAGCATTTATAAATTAAGATGTACTCCTTGCTTAATACAAATTGATGAAGTCATGATTTAACTTTTCTGCAGAATGACAGCACAGCTTTTTTTGCAAGCCACAAATCAACAGGCAGTGCTTGACTTAGTTTCCTGTTTTCAGTAATTAATATTTTTGCAAAGGATTAAAACAATTTCCCTAGGTTCTCCCCAAATATGTTCCAGTATCTGCCAGTCTGTCCGTCTATCCCATCTTCTCCTTGAGGAGGCCTAGGCAGCATACATGATTTTTTCCTATTTTATCCTCACAACAACCCTGCGGGGTAGGTTTGGCTAGAATCAGGGTCTGGCCCAAAGTCACCCAATGAACTTCACATCCGAGTGTGATCAAGAACCTGCTTTGCCCCAGCCTCATATCTTTGAATTACTTTTAATGCATGTGTCGATCCAATGGAAGCATACCGATCAAATATAAACTGGTGGCTGAGCTTTTAAAGTTGTAGAAAGTGTGCTCACTAGTGAGCTGGAAGAGATCCTGGCGATCATGCCAGCTCCAGCTTAATGCAGGCTTTGCCTTTTTCTTCGTCTCAGTCCTTCAAGAGATAAATGTTAGAAGAAGCATAGAAGTGTGAAGGTTTGAGGCAGGGTCCTATCTTCTTACTTTAAACTCCTGCCTTCCCCGTTGCCGTTGGTACATCAGATGTTAGAGGCCATTATGGCTTCAAAGCGCAGCTCTTGCTAAGGCAGCCCCTGATGCCTCTGTTTCCTTTTTCTCTTCCCACTTCTCCAGCTGTCCCCAAGACCTTGATGTCTCAGTCCAGACTGGCAATCCGGAAGATCCTAAAACTGGCAAACCGGCCTTCCGCTGTGGATCAGCTGGAGATCCCGGCAGTGCTGCTCGGCTACCTCAAACACCAATCCAAAGTGAAGATCGAGGAGGAAACTCCACGGGGTTACCAAGTATTGTAACTGTATCAGAAAGTGGAAAAAACATTCTAAGAATTGACACAGGAGCTGTCTTGTTTGATCCAGTTTTGCTGTGGCTGTGCGTGATGTGGCTAAAAATATTGCAGTTTCTTTCTTTTTTAAGCTGAAGGGTGAACATGCAAAATGAAGACTGAAAACCTCATAGATGCTGGAAAGACCAGTCAGGTCATTATTTTTTGATGATGATGATGATGATGATAATGTGAGCCTTACAGCTCAATCCAGTGCATGTCTGCTCAAAAGTAAGTCCACCTGGGCTGAATAAGGTGTATTCTCAGGTAAGTCTAATATGAGATGACTGTGTTAAAGGGTATTTTTAAAATGGAATGGATGCTCAAGAAAGCTCAGGCTGTTAAATGGAAAAATCTAAAAGAACCTTTTGAAAATCAGCCCTAACTCTAACTTTTCTAAAATCAAATTCTAATGAATGTCACCTTTATTTGATTGATAGGATTAGGAAATGCAAATAAACATTGTGTTTTTTAAAAATAAATATTCTTAATTCTATCAAAAATGAAAGACACACACTTTTAAAAGCCAATTTCGAAGCAGCCACGCAGTAGTCATGTTTCACTCCCCCACACTTTTGGAATGAGTTTTGAATTGTTTATTTTCTTTTTTAGTAAAATTAAGTTAGTACAAAACTTTGGTATTTGAGCATTCATGATACATGAATGCTGTGCTGTGTTGACTTACAACAAAACAAAATTGACTGTAAGAGATTAGTTTGCATGTGTATAATTACACTGATACCCTTCACATACAGATATCCAAATTCCTGGAGCAACTCCAGAACTGTTGGTGAACAGTTTGCAGGATTACTTTTAAGATGATGGAGGAATAAACTGGTGGTGAACTTGCTGGCACATCTTTGTCCTGAAATCTGAAACACTGGCCTAATGCTGCATATTAAGACCCCACTGTGAGCTCTGGGCAAATATGATGCATTCCTTAACCAGTTAGCACAACCTGGAGATGAACTATCTGGAGTTTCATTTACTTTAAACTGGGTATAGGATCCCACCACTAGATGGCGCTATTGATCCAAACACAGAGCCAGATACACACACGGCTCCCCGAGGGTGGTATTTCTATTATTCTTGCTACTATTTTATTTGAAATAACAACGCCATGGTTTTGAATTCTCATTGAAAGTGTCATGGGTGAACGCAGGACTCTTTAAACGTACAGGAAATGTGTGAAGCATTTCAGCAGCGGCCAAAGGGACTGCAAAAACGGAGTCTGTATGGGATGATTTATTTACCTTTCAGTAGCATGCACAGCGGGGGGGGGGGGGCACAGGGAGTTTGCTAGATGCACCTGAGAGTAAAGCTAAAGGATTGAATGGATTAAGATGAACGAAACAAAGGAAGACCTTTCAGGACAGACACACCTGAGCATTTCTCAGGTGGACCTGGGGAACAAGGCTCTCAGCATGCCTCCTGATCAGGTCAGAACCCCTCCTGAAGTCCAAAGCTGTTCTTACAGGGCTGGGGTTCCAGCAGCCATAAGATGGCAGAACTTTTGCTCGTTTTGTCCGGGCAGGAGGAAGGCCACCTGGATCCCTGCTGTTGTGGGTCGTGGGGCAAACAAGCCACACCATGCAGCTCTCACAACAGCTTGGCTGGTTGTGTCCTGCGCCCTCTCCAGTGTGTCGTTTCGCCCTGATAGGCCTCTGTGGTGAAGTCAGAAGCGCAGCTAGGTGGACCTTTGGTGCAAGCCCCTAAGACTCTTCTTGTGCTCTCAGTAGGAACCTAATCTAGCCTCCCTCACAGCATGTTAATTTTGTGCGTGCCAGCCCTGTCTGTCTGTCTGTCTGTCTGTCTGTCTGTCTGTCTGTCATGGAGAAAACAGTTCTGATGTGATAGCATCCAAATATGGGATGGTGTAACTTGGTGTCCTGCAACAGCAGGGGTTGGACCCAGTGGCCTTCATGGCCCCTTCCAGCTCTACTCTTCTATGATTCCATGACTGATTCAATGAAATACAGATTTGCTACATCGCTGGGCCTTGTTCTCCGTTGAATTCATGCCCCAAAAGCCCCTCTGAGAGCATTTTGGTTATCTGGAAGCAGAAAGTTCTGCATTATTTAGCAACTCAAAATTGAATTATAACCTCAAGGGCGGTGAACTCTATTAAGCTGTGGCTGGGGCTCCTAAGGGAGAGGTTGGAAAGCGCTGTTGCCTGGAATTAGGACGGAGAAAATCTTAGAAAGCATTCAGGAAGAACAATGGTGAGCTGCCTTGGGGATTCAGATTGGACACTGAATTAGCCAGCCTTGCATCTTTGCATTGTCTGTTGATTTGAGCTTTGGGGAGCTGGAGATAGTTTCTTTGACCCCTGTGGGTTAACTCCCTGGTATTTCTCCCACCTTCAACTCCTTGCAGAATTCTAACAGCTCCGTAACACATTTTTCTTCATCAAAACTGAAGCACTTTTGAGGCTTCTCTCTCCCAAAGTTTTGCTTTTAGAGCATTCAGAGTAAGAATTAACTTGTTCCTCCCATGCAAAAGTAGCCTCTGCAAAAGGAATACAATGGAGAAGAATAAAACTTATTAAAAAAAAAGAAATTCAGTGGAGAAGAAAACATTGGAGACATCCTCATGAGATTGGGTTCAAGTTTCATGTGCTTACCATGCTTAGGAAATGACAAGCGTGTTCATCCATCCCATATTTCCTTATACAATTGCCTCGCTGTTGGCCTGTAACATCCTTGGATTCCTGTACTCCAGTTAAAGTTCAGGGGAAGACATCATGTGGTCTTTCTTGCACAGGGCTTTTTTGGATCCGGAAGTGTGGGCATCCTGGGAGGCTGCAGAGCAAAGAGTGATGTGCAATAAGAAGAAAACACACAACAACCTTCAGCTGCCTCACGTTAGGTACACTCAAAAATGCCAGCAAAGTGACTAAGATACCTGAAAACATGGCAGGACTATGGAAGTTCCTTTCTTGGGGGGGGGAAAGATCTCAAGATCCTGTCCTCTGCAGTTTGGCACAGAGCTAGTAGCTTCACTTCTTTCCTGGAAGAGAATGCAGCACTGCCTCTCCTTTTCACATCTGTGAAATGGACCAGCCTGGCAACATGGTGGATCTGTTTGTTGCCAATTACAGCTGCAGGACAAACGGGGAAGGGTGGGTGGGAAGAGCAGCTCTGCTCCCCGGCCAAAGTGGCCCAGAAGAGAGACATCTGCTGAGCTCCTCCTCCCTGCCACTGCCCATTTCTCTCGCCACGAATAAGGTGCAGGATTCCAAGGGCGCATCTGCGCGGAGCTCTGGTCTGATCAAAGTGAACGTGGAAGCAGGGGGACGGCTTGCCTTATCGGAGGCTTGATAGGAAGGAGGGCAAGACCTCCCTTAAGGACAGGTGTTTGTGCTGCATCCCCGCCTCACGATCGAGCCGCATCCCCATCCAAGACAAGCCCAGAACAGAAACTCATACCGAGATCCAGCAAGTAACTTCTCCACAGGTGGAGATTTCTGGCTTGGACAGCCTTTCCATACGCTGTTAAGGGAACAATCCTACGCAGGTTCAGCGGGGGGAAAATGCCTGTGCTGAAAAGTTCAGAAATAAAAGAAGGAATTGCAGACCCTTTTCCTTCCTGAACTTGCTCAAGATTGCGCCTTAGGTTATTGTACCTGGCGCATGAAACGTGTAGCACTGAGAATGGGAATGTGGCTGTACCATTTAAGGAGATGGTCCAGGGTATCGGCCCTGAAGTCACGGGGACTCTGGCTTTCACTGAATGGTTTTAGCACTTTCCACTGGTCTTTCATGCACTCGTGCTGTTATTTTCGGTGCCCTGCCTGGCTTGAAAGCTGCAGCGGCAACCAAGGCAACGCCATCTGTCCACTCTGCTAGTCATCCGCCTCCTCAAAGACCTTTCCAAACTCTTCCACTCCCCCTCTGCACTTCTGATTACTCTTGTGGAAATTGGATGAGTTTTACAAGGGATGAGAGCGATGCAAATGAAAGTGGACTTGAGGGTTGTGACTGTGGCAGCAGAAAGATTTACAGCAGTGTGGGTGGGGAGAATTATTGCTGAAAGCGTGGGTGGTGAGTAGCCTTTCTCAGAACAGCAGCCAGCTGCACCAGAGAACCATAGTGGCCGCCTCCTGGTTTTGGGCAGCACCATTCCAAAAGGAAACGGTTTTCTCCTGTACTGTACACAGCAAAGGACAGCTGGTCGCAAAGACGTTTTGCTGACAAAGACTGAAATTCACGGGTCCTTTGTTTCCAAGCAGTACCATTCGCAAAGGCTGGTACCAGCAGGATTGGATTGGTGAGTGGATCAATTCTAAGCCTTGATCTGCTTCTCCTGTATCATGAAAGCTGTGTGCCATTTAATCTGTTTTGTAAAAAGAAGAGCATATATATTTATGCATATCTGCATCTATCCTTTACCTTGCAAAGTAAGAACAGTTGGAGGAATTGGAAAAGACCGTGCGTTGATCACGACATGGGAGCCAGCCATGGGTGCTTATCTTAGCCATGGACCTGCACACACTTGGAAGGCCTGTTTCAAACACAGTGATGGAGTCTTCAAACCTCTCATTACCACCTACAATTTTCTAAGTACTGTACGAAGATTAAAAAACAAGCCGTTTTTGCCCAGCGGCTTTATAATCTCCGGTGTCTCCAAAGATGCGTCATCAGTGAGGTATGAGGCATTTCCAGACAATCCTGAGCTTGCTTTTAGTGCACTAATCATGGACTGCTGGACTCTGCATCCTTCTATCCCACCAGAGTGTTGCACTTCCGCCTCTCCAATTTTTAGTCCCTGGGAACACGCAATACACAGAAGTGCAGTCAGAAGAAACGTCACACACACACAGGCACAAGAATGCAGGTGGCAGCTTCTGGAAGTTCTGTACTGAACTGTCACAACATGCAGGCGAGGACACGGAAGGGCTGATCGGGCATGTCCAAAACTTACACGATGGTCTTGGGATGGTTCCTATCGATGCGTATTTATTGCTTATGGAGCAAATTTGTATTTGCATGTGGGTGTATGTTTTTCTTCTGCAGAAAAGGTGGGAGATAAGAGGCAATATAGGAATATTTGTTGCTTATGAGGGGCATAATTAGGCCTGGGCAAGGGGAAGTGAAGGGGAGGGTCCACATGCACAATTCACAAATGGGTCCCTCTTATATTGGCTTATCTGGGAGAGAATATTTTTATTGATTTAGCTATTGAGTATATCCCACACTTCCTCCAAGGAGCTCCCATGGTCCAATCCCATCTTTATCTTCACAACAACCCTGAGAGGGAGATCAGGCAAGAAGTAGCAAAGGGACGTGGCAGAGATTTCTGCACAGTCCAATCCAGGGAAACGACCCTGTGAATAAAGGATCCGTGCGAAAGGCTCCGCAGGGTCCTGCCTCTGATTAGGACCAAGGAGGGAAAGTCAAGGAAGGAGGAAGAGCAGCTATGGGCTTGGTTCCGTCAAGGAAGCCCCAGCCTGGAGTTAGAAGAGCTGAGCGGGGCTTCTGTGGAGGAGAGGGCCTCTTGCGGGAGGGGCACTCATTCGGGGGCCACCCTAAGTCAGCGAGGAGTTGCGGACGCAGGACCACAGCATTCTTCGGAGAACTGCAGCACGTTTTCCCGTTCGTGGGAACTCTTACTCGGGTTGTTGGTTAAGCAGTGCAAGGACAACGTCGATTTCTTGACGTCTTCCACGATCTTCGAAGCGGTGCAGAGCGCCCGTGCACACAGCGGGACTTCCTCAGACCCATCTGGAGCGCGCTCCGAATTCGGCGGCCCCGCGAGTCTCCCGATGGCACTCGAGCAAGCCCCGCCGAGTTCAGCCAGAGAAGCGCGGGCGCAATTGCAGGCGCACGGCGGGGCGATCCTAGCCATGCTTGCTC